ATTTTGGAGCAGTAAGCATGTCAGGCTAAATTAATTATTGACTTCTGTTGTCTACATTAAAAACAGATTTTTCTTTACAATTTAAAACGGCAACTTTTGATATCTTTTCTTCTGAAGATACTATTGTCCTAAAAAACAAAACAAAAAAACATAAATTTAAAAAAAAAAATCATACACATACCTTAGGAATGGTATTGCAGAAAATTGACGGTTTTAAAAACTTGACTTTACCAAACCGCGGTATACCTTGAAAATGGTTATTGTCCCAAGCCTAATTTCTATGTAAATATAAATTAAATATTTATAGTTTATTATGTCAGGAAAACTTTTACTAGATTTTCCTACATTGATTAAACAGTTACATAATCTTGGTTAAAATGGTGGCCATTCTAATAAATAAATAATATTAATACACTTTATTTATATAATTATTAATATATCATATTTCAGCCCAACCTAGCTGCTTTTCATGTCTGATTCTGGTTGGTATAAGGAATACTAAATAAATAAACAGTCCTAGCTGCATCTATTGTTTGGTTCTGGCAGAACACAATGACATTCAAACATAGTTTGTAATGGATTATCATTAGAAGCATCTTGCCAGCTGTTTTCTTAAGTAGAAGCTTGCTAGCTGGCACTGCAAAGAGAATGTGTCAGTAAGAGTGAGCAAGCACTGCCAATGCATTTGACTCAGTAGCAACCAGTAAAAAGACTACAATCTTCCAATAACCCTGATAAATTGGTTCTATAAAATTTGTAAATACCACTGCAGCCTCCCTTTGTCCACAAAGAACAATGCAATGACAAGTCAAGGTTGGAGGGGGCTGTATGCATAGAATGGACTCACTGTTCTGAACTGAGAGAGGTCAGTGTTTCTCGCATCCAGTGGGCAGAGAAATCAAAATGATTCGCAGCGTTCTTTTCTCAGCCTACACCCTGCTCATCTTCACGCAGTGTCTATTGAGGTCATGTCAAAAACATTAACAGATTGCTTAACATGGCAGACTTCTGGGATTGAATTCATTACAATTTTTTACTTAATTCAGTATATTCTTTGACGTTTTTTCATTGAGTTGCTTCGGCTTTATCCATTCTACATAAATGGGCAATTAAAACCATGACGAACTTTTTGGCCTCTATGTTTACCTATTTGTAGTTTTTGGAAGCAGAATAAAAAATAAATTATCTAAGAGAGATGATACTGGCAGAGAGAGACGTGTCCCAGTTTTGGCTTAAAATGCCAGCTGGATGCTGGACTGGCAAAGCTCCCATCTGGTTGATTTCTGCCATTAACAAAAAAAGCCACCATCAATAATGCATGCTTATGGTTTTATAAAAAATACAACAGCCAAAATCAGGAACCACAGAATAAGAATTTAAAGAGAATTTATAAAATTTAAACTTCACTATTTGCTCGCCCTCAATCAGTTTCACACATTTGTGAGGGTTTTTTACTTTCTACTGAACACAAAATAAATATTTGAAGAATGTTGGAAATCGTTGACATCCGTAGTAGTAAATCAAATACAATGGAAGAAAAAGGATTACGGTTTCCAACATTCTCCTGAAAGAAACTCAAACCGGTTTAAAGTGACTTGAGAATGAGTAAATGATTACAATATTAATTTATGTGTGAACTTTCGCCTTAATATAGCAGTCTATATAAACAATGATTTATTTAGAGATCCACTGTCTATCATGGTTTCAGAAGAGGTCAGTCTCAGTGTTGCCAATTTCATAGTTTTCAGCGTAACTAAAATACTTTGAGCATAATTTGCAGATAAGATTTCACACAAGAAGAATCAACTGGACTAGTTTGATTAGGAACTGTGTGGGTATGTTACAAAGATCTGACAATCCTTTGTGCCTTGAATACTCCAGCAACAACAAGCAAAACATATGTATGCACTTCAATGCCATGCCAGATTAAACTCCTAATAGAGATGAGCACATAGAGAACAAACAGAAAGAAGGCTGTCAAACATCACATTATGCAAGTAAACAAGTTCTTTCATGTGAGTGGTCAAATAAAAAAGCAGAAAAAAGCTACAAAATGTTAAAATGTCTTTGAATGTAAACATTTAGGGACTAAAATTATGTATATTAGATGATCTGTGAAACAAGTGTCTCTTAATACAACTCAACCAGGTTTTATTATTGAAATTCGGATATTTAAACATCTCAGAGATCACAACAAAGAAAAGTGATTACTGATTTAGAGCCTGGCTTGCTTTGAAGTGTGCTTAGTAATTTGCAGATTTTTGTCAAGCTCAAACTAAAAGATATTGCAAAACTGTATATGATATGGCAATATGGCAAAATTGTAATATTAATTATATTCCATATTGAAGATAATGATGTATATTTTGGTGTAAGTTGTTAATGCTTCTAGATTTAAAAAAGGACCCCAACAATGGCAGAAGCCACAAAAAAATTTCTGGCTGAAAATTTCTGAAATTGAGATTTTCTTGAAAATCTCTAATATCAACACAGTTTTAGATGCCTCTTATTGCACATTTCTGCTGTGTAATTTGCTCTTAGATCAATAAAGATTAAAAATAAGTCCAGAGGTTATCATTGTTATTGACATAAATTTTATCGCTGTTTGATATAATTTCGTTTATTGGCCCAGCCCTACTAAAGTAAATTATAAAAATCATAACAGGACTACTCCAAGTACCTAAACAATTATGGTACAACTTGTCATTTTCATGGCTACTTGCCATTGTTTTAATTTAAAGTATAAACATAGATTGGCACATAATCATGACATTTGCTCAAGTTGGTACTGAAATTTAGTTTTAATGCTACCACTATTAAAGATAAAACTGACGTGTATGTATATGACCAATTCCATGCAAATGTCAATCTTGCCATAAAAAAAATTAAGTTTGCATCAAAATATGGAAACTATTTCTGGGGTTTTTGGGTAAGCAAGTATTTTACAGCACTATAGAAATACTCAAAAATGCACCTGTAAATGTTTTTAAACTATTATATTTGATTTACCAAAGTCATACAAGTGGCAATTTCACATCTGTCACATCCATAACAAAGAGGCGTCACATCCATAATGATACTTTTTTTCACATAAATGTGAAAATATAAAATAAAAATCAATCTTTTTTTTGTTTAATAGAGATCCAACTCTTCTCCTTTTGATTAGCAATGTTTCTTCTGGGATGTGTAGTTTAATTCACAGAATTTCTACTTAGTATGTTGTGTACTGTAAACCTGCAGACTTTGTCACATCCATAAATTGCTTATTTTCCTTATTTAAAGTACAAAATGTGTTTACAGATTGATATGTTTCTGGTCCCTTAACTCTGTGGTCAGTTGTTCTGGAAAATATAAACAAAAGTTTTACAATAATGTTAACATATACTTTCTATGTGAATTTATGTTTTGAGTTTTACTGCAAATGTCACATCCATAACGCTGGAATTGCTCATATGTAAAAATTAATGATGTCACAGGAAACCAGAACACAGAACACTGGTTTCCAGCTACTACCTCAGCATTCTTTATAGAGGGCCCGGATGGGACCTAAAGGAAACAAATTTATTGCAAATCAGATTTCAGGGGATCACAGTGTCCTCAAAATTGAATTAAACTGCACTGTGAATATTTCCAGCTTCCAGATAAATGCAGTACGGCTTTGCCAGATATTATGAGATCCTAAAAGCAACACAAGCTGTCAAAATAAGCCCATTAAGCTGTTTGTGATGAAAAGCTCCTACAAGAGTTTATTTCATTTTGGCAAAAACTAAGTGATGAATATAGGATTTCAGAAACAATGACATATTTATATATATTTGATGCATTAGGACAAATTTGTTGTGGCAAATAGATTACATTAGCAGTTCAGGATTTAATGAGATATAAAAGAAACTCATCCAAACCTATGAATGCTTTGTAAACAGTACACAATGTGTGTTGGCCAGTATGTAAATCATTTAAGACTGGAATTGCAAGCGCTGGCTCTTGCTTTTTTAACAGCTACATAACCACATTATAACATAGTTGTAACAGTAACAAGGCCAGTTTTGAAGGCGGATGCTTTATATATTGCAAAATCTACAAATTTGACTATATGAAGTATGTGTGTGACCATATGAAATGTGAGAATGTTAAATGAAAAAAAATGCAGTTGTTGTAAATGTAATATTTTTATCTGCAGAAGATGAGTGTGTACTTTCATGCAAACAAATGCATGGGGTTAGTTTAAGAAATTAAGAGCTTCTCTGCATGAAATTGATGAAAAGTGGCAGTATACATTAACCATGTCAGTCTTATCAACACTGATAATATTTGAGCAGCAAATGATCATATTAGACTGGCTTCTAAAGAATCATCTGACTCTGAAGACTGAAAATATTAGTAATAATAATAATAATATAAATCAATAATATATTAGTATTTTACCATATTTTAGATCAAGTACATGCAGTTATGGTAATTATAAAATCCATACATTTTTACTAACGTACTGTACATGTATATGACTATATAGGGCTGGGCTGATAAATGATATTATATCGAATAGCGATAAAATTTATGTCAAAAACAATGACAAGCTCTGGACGTGTGTTGTAAAAGTGTGTTATTATTAAAGATGTACCATATTTTAGGCCAAAAATATGTTATGCCATTTGATGGACCCTTTAATTTTTGTGGCTTCAGTCTTTGTTGGGATACTCTTAAATATGGAAGCATTAACAACTTATATCAAAATATATATCATTATCGGTCAGTACGGAAAATAAATTATTGAGATTGCATTTTTGCCATATCGCCCAGCCCAACTATAAGCTTTTTGGATAAGCTGTTTATATAAGCGTTTAGCATGGTATATAGTTTTCATTAAAAATATAAAAAATGCTTCAAATTTGAACCTGAAGCAGAATCAAAACAATCAAAATGACTAATAATATGTTTTTGACAGATGCATTATAAAGTTTCACAAAATAAAACTAATTTTCTAATTTTCCTTCTTACAGGAAGAAGTCTTTCCTCTTCTCTGCGCTCTACGCTGCCTGCATACTCGGTGGGCGGCATGTAATGAAACAAAGGGAAAAGTTTGAGCTGAGGAAACCTTTAGTATTATGGTCTTTAACACTTGCCGCCTTCAGGTAAATATGTCTATCTGTAATTAGGTCATAAAGTGTGCTGCAAATGTTTGTGAGGGTGTGCCACAGGTATTTGCCTTTTTGCCTCCAGCACCTGTTAACAGTAAAAACATATTTGCCTATTTAACGCATCGCTATGACGTTAGTAATGGAAATACAAACGTAATATGTAAATTAATATATAAAGTAGTAACTGCCAACTAACAGATTTATGAATGATATATTGTGCATCACAGGTGCAGACATCATAATTCTACTGCTGTAAAGATAAATAAAAAGTAGAATCTGTGTGCCATGATCTTAAATTTGCCAAAAGATTATACTTTGCAAGAAGCAAAACTATAAGACACCAAATTTCTGTGATGTGCACTAAGATTTTTTAATGTGATGTACTTTGCACATTACAAAACAACACTGCAATGAACACAGTTTTCAAATGTTAAGATTAATTACAGAACAAACTATTGTTATACAATGACTCGCCTAATTAGCATAACTTGCGTAATTAACCTAGTTAAGCCTTTAAATGACACTTTAAGCTGAATACTAGTTGCTTGAAAAATATTTAGTAAATTATTATATACAGTCATCATGGAAAAGATAAAAGCCAGTTATTAGAAATTAGTTATCAAAACTATTACGTTCAGAAATGTGTTAAAAAAATTCTCTTCGTTAAACAGAAATTATGGGAAAAGGTATAGATGGACCTAATAATTGAGAAGGGCTAATAAATCTGACTTCAACTGTAAGAGGCCAGCATATATGATTTTGTATAAAGCTTGCACCTCCTCATGACATCTTACTTCCCAGCTAGCAAGAAACATTCTCAGAATTTTGGCAAGGTTGTCTCAAAGTTATGAGCAAACATTCTTCAAGCGGTGTTAAAGAGGTCAAGAACTGCATAACAAAACTATGTGGTTCACTTATAACATTACCTATATTTTACTTTAAAAAATAATAACAACAATTTAGAAGAAAAAGGCTACATTTTCTATTATTATGAGCTTTTTGAAACCCTCTGTAGCTATTGGGTCACAGTAAAAAAACAGATTCCAGTCTTTAAAAAGCATGCAAAAAGTTATGTTTAAAACAAACAATCAGTGTCTTATTTCTTATTTTTAGTGTCTTAGGGTGCTTTCATATCTGTAGTTCGCTTCATTTGGTCCGCGCCAAGGGTTATAAATGATACATTGTTGCATCTTCTGCTGTCTTTGGTCCGAACCAGTTGAAATGAACCAAAATGCACTTATCTGATAAAATCCACATCTCTTATTGGCCAGATGTTGTTGAACATATTTCCTAAACTGCTAATTGATTGGTCAGAATTCACGTGCGGGAAAATGCCAATGAACTCCTGCAGGTAAAAAGAACCGGCAGATACAAAATGTCGCTTTTTAGTATGAAGGGACGACTGCGCTGACTGATTGTATCCCTGCTTTAGACAAACTATACATTTCGAGAATGAAGCGCGGCTCTGGCTGGAAAACATTGTTTTAATGCATCGCTCGTCACTTCAGGAGTAGGCGTGAATTAATTTAGCTAAACTGTGACATGGTCATCTTGCGAAAATATTACCAACAATCCATCAGGTAATGTTTTTCCCTCTCTCTCTCTCTCTGATGGTAAAGCGCTGTCAACAAGTATTTTTCCTCCATATCCCATAATGCACAGCGCATCGGCCTACCGCAGCTGAATTAGTCTGAAAGGCGCAGTACTTTTTTGCGGTTGGCCCTGTTTTAGTACGGATCATATTCCAACCACAAACGAACCGCTCCAGGGTTCGTTTGAAAGCGTCCCGAGACCACCTCTTCAAGCAGGTCTCAGTACGCTTATTTGGTCCGCGTTTGGTGCACACTCGAGAACTATTGCTGCATTCTCACCTGCCCAAACAAACCGCACCAAAAGGGAAAACAAACTCTAGTGCGATTCAATCTAACTAAATAAGTCAGGTGTGAAAGCATTTTTAAGGTGCTTTCACATCTGTAGTTCGGTTCATTTGGTCTGGACTATAGGCAATAAATGATACATTGTTGCATTTTCTGCGGTCTTTGGGTCGTTTACAGACCACACTGCTGGCTTTGGTCCGAACCAGTTGAAAAGAACCAAAATGCACTCATCTGACAAACACCACAACTCACGTGCGGGAAAATGCAAATGAATTTTCGCAAGTAAACAATCCGGCAGGCACAAATTTTCGCTTTTTAATATGGTGGGACGACTGCGCTGATGATTGTATCCCTGCTTTAGACAAACTATACATTTCAAGAATGAAGCGCAGCTGCGGCTGGAAAACAATGTTTTAATGCATCGCACGTCATTTAAGGAGGGGGCGTGAATCAATTTAGGTAAACTGTGACATGGTCATCTTGTGGAATTATTACCAACGTTCCATCAGTTAATGTTTTTCCCTCTCTTTCTCTGATGGTAAAGCGCTGTCAACAAATATTTTTTCTCCATATCCCATAATGCACAGCATATCAGCCTACAGCAGCTGGATTAGTCCAAAAGGCACAGTACTTTTTGTGGTTTTAGTACGAATCATATTCTCACCATAAACAAATCGCTCCAGGTTTCGTTTGGAAGCGTACAGACACCACCTCTTCAAGCAGGTCTTGGTACGCTTTTTTGGTCCGCTTTTGTTGTGCGCTCGAGTACGATTGCTGCATTCACACCTGCCCAAACAAACCGGACCAAGAGGGAAAACAAACTCTAGTACGATTCAACCGAACTAAATAAGGCAGGTGTGATAGCACCCTTAATTATCTCACAGAATGCTTTCTTTTTCAAACATTCAACAATTGTATTGAGTAAAAACATGTTATTATATGCGATATTTGCACATACGTTTAGATGTAGCAGCAACACAGAGCCACAGTTTACTAAGAAACGATACAAACATCTGTCACAAGTAAACACCTTAAATCAAACTATTACATTGTGTAGGACTTTTGCCACATTTTGCCACAGGCCATACACATACAGTTGTTTAGATGCTGTATTCTCTGCACCTACCTCATGAGGGTGACATGAATAAAATATTGCTGAAATTGAAATGAAATTGAAATTGAATATATCACCATTGATTAAAAATGGTGGCATAATGATGTTAATTGATCTATGCAATATAACAATTTAAAAAACAGAACATGAAGGAAGCATCCTAAAAGTAACTCATATAAACATCTTAATCATATTATTGCCTTATTCATAAATAATGTAAATCGCTGAGATCCATGTAAACATAGTCATTGTCTACATTTTCTTTGTGTAGCTTTCAAGTATGGCTCTGTAAATGTTGCTCCATCAGACAGCAGGTAAGATACTGCTGAATACAAAGCTGGACTTACTGCCAAATTGCTGAATAATTCGATTAATTATCGAGCTCTACATTTTTGCATAATGGTTTATAAAAAGCAGTTTTTGGAGCAAGAATTATGAGTTCGGAAACTGACAAGATGTTTTCATAATATAATAACCTCTTAAATTTCATAATATGAAATTTAATATCTGAATTCATAAAGCGTTCATTCAAAGTTTTTGATCTTTAACAAAATTCCCCCCATACTTTGCTCAAGTTTTCTGTCTGTGACAAGTTATAGCTTAATTCTTGTTCATCTTCCCTTAGCATTTGTATAGCCCCCCAAAAACATAATAAATCCAAAAGTAAAAAAATATTTCTAAAAAACATTTAGTACTAAGACTAATTATTATAATTAATTAGGAAAATTATACAGACATTCAGAAATATTATTTTCATGAATTATTAAGAATTAGGAACATTAGCTCATATGTTCTAGAGCATGTATTTGTTAGCTTGGTTGAGGTAAATAATATAACATATCACACTCTTCTGTGTGGACATCCAGTCAACTGTGTCTGTAGAAAGACAATGACATGGACTGGCTTGCTTTTCCAGGATTTTCACATGATCCAGCCATTGGCAGCTATCATAAGAAACCTAAAACTGCAACCTGAGTGCTAAGTAACTGTGCAGCCACACAAGGCAAAAGCCAATAAATAAATCTGACCAATAAGAATAATGCATTATCTAAATCAGCAATGGTACACCATCAGTTATAACAGTCAATGAAGTTTACATATATATATATTTCATTTTGAATTTCTGATTTGTAATGTTTATTGTTTTCTTCAGTATATTTGGTGCCATCAGAACTGGGGGCTATATGGTAAACATTTTGATGACCAAAGGCCTAAAGCAGTCAGTGTGCGATCAGAGTTTCTACAACGGGCCAGTCAGCAAGTTCTGGGCTTATGCTTTTGTCCTCAGCAAAGCACCTGAACTAGGTGAGTCTATGATAGTCATTATTTGAAGTGGATCAAAACATTTCAAAGTTGCCCTAAACCATTCAACAACACCCATTCCTGTGTTTGAACAATTTTGGGAAACTTTTTTGATCCACTTCAGATGTTGACATACTGTAAATATATGTACTGTATGTATTTTACATTTAAATTGTACCCAGCATACTTAGCATAAGAGAGTAAAATCCAATTAAATTATTTCTCAACAAATCCTTATGAAATTAAACAGTTCAGTAGTAACCAGACTATTGTTTTTTGTTGTAAAGTTACATTAGCAAGTAGTAAATACACTATATATATAATACATTTATGTAAAGTTATGACAATTGTAATGTATAACCGGTGTAGCCACATTCCCAAGATTCCCCAAAACCTCATCTTGATTTAAAACAACACAGAAAAATGTAATTCAGTGCTCTACAATCTAGCCTGCTCCACTGACAAAGCACTGCAGAGAAGCCTAGTGTTCATCTGCATGAATATAATTGGTTGTGAAAGCGTAACAGAATTTGTTAGCATGAACCTTGCAGCATAACCCCAAGTCTCGAAAGCTGGGATAGTGGTTCTATTTTCCACCTGCCTGGGCCTATTGTGTTTGCCATGTCCTGACGGTTAGTGGTCTACCAGGCCGATTGTTGAGACAAAAAGAGGACAATGTGAGGACCCTTCACATGCCTCCTAAGGCCAGAAGGCATATAGAGAGACAACCACATATATAGACTTTTGACAAGCTGAAAACATCCACTTGTCTTCTGATACCAACAAATGGAAAACTTAAACTAAAGCAATGAGTAAATGCTCAAGAGGGGAATTTTAATTTTAAACAATGCTTTTTATTCATCAAAACATTTAACAAATGTTATTATCCCACATGACTTTGGTGAATAAAGCGTAATTTCTATTATATATGGTCAAGACAAGAGAACAAAATATTTACTTATTGTGAAACTGGCACAAAGAATGCTTATGGAGTAATTAACAAAATTGCTGCAACCAGGGAAGTCTCTCTGATTGACATTCAATTACTTGCACATCTGTTCAAGCAGAACAAATACTGTCATGTTAGGTTGCTTTTTAAGGCTGACACCTGATGTTGGGAACACAAATTTATTATACTTGACCTAATTTTATTTTATACTGAAAGCATTTTCAAACCTTGCCTCAGTTAGGTATTCAACATAACTAAAGTCTAAAGCAGGGGTTTTCGATCTCAGTAATGAAGGCCAGATGTTCTGTAGATTTTAGCTCCAACCCCAATCAGACACACCGAGGCTAGCTAATCAAGTTCTTACTAGGCTTTCTAGAAACATCCTTGCAGCTGTGTTGAGGCAAGTTGGAGCTAAAATCTGCAGGACATTGGCCCCCTAGGACCGAGTTTGAGAACTCTTAGTCTAAAGCATAAAAGTACCTTTATCTATTTACATGTAGTACATTTACCTCACCTCACTACATCATATAACCATCACTACCATGATGTTCAAACTAAACTGTTCAGAGTCAAACTACATCAGGCACTGTTTCCACCTTACAATAAAGGGATAGTTCATGCAAAAATGAAAATTTACTTGACAACTATATTTTTAAATAATTTTAATATTATTATTTAATTTTTATCATTTACTCATCCTCAAGTGGTTCTACGTATATCTTTATAAAACTATCTTTAAGAAAATCAAACAGGTTTGTAACCAGTGAAGGGATATTAAGGTCCTGTCCACATGCACACAGGTATTTTTAAAACCACACTTTTTTCTATGTAGTTTCGCTGTTTGTCCACACAAAAACGCAGTGTCAGTTAACTGAAAGCACAACTTTTTGAAACTCCAGCCAGGGTGAAGATTTTCTAAAAATGTCTTGTGAATGCTAAAAACGGAGTTTTAGCCTCATGACGTCAACTTGCGCACTGTTTTCTCCTCTCTGATTGGCCAACATAGCTGGGTTTAGGGGGATGGTGAAGTCAGTTCTTGTCACGTGACTCATGGAAAAAGACAGTCTGGCTGCAGATTTGCACTTGCACCTCCAGGCTTGCACGCTCAGGTAACCACGCTTCCTCTGCAAGTGACATCATTTACAATCGCCACCTGTGGCCGCTTGCATAAAATTCTACGGTAATTTAATTTAAGGTCCTGAGGTGGAAAAATCTCTGAGGTAACGAATTTCATTAAGATCGTTGCAAAAAGTTTTTATCTGTCACCCTTACAAGTGCCTTTTTTTCTAAGCTTTTCACTGTAGTTTTTGGCAACATACGGCAACGGGTGCCACAGTTGCTATAGTTTAGTAAACAGATCGTTACAAAAGCGAATGCTTGCCTTACAACAGCTCTACAGTAATGTTACACATCCTCTGTGTCGCTTTCTTTCCATTAAGCGAGTTGAGACGTTCCCTTATCGAGTTGATCTCGACATTATGTTTGGAGGACCTGTAAAACTGGGCGGGGAACATGTAGAGGATCATGTAATTTCATATGAATGCACTCCCACGCAGACGTGCTAACTTATCAAGAATAGTTATAAAAAAATAGTTTCCCAAGTCATTCAAGAATCATTGCTTCAAGTCCATAATGTGTATTTGTTAGTTGTAATACTACAACTCCTTGAAATGTTTAAAATAAAAACTAAAATTCAAATTTTGCAAATTTGGTGTTTTTTATTCATAACTTTGGAAGAATACCTTCTGTCTATATTTAGACCTGTTAGTTGATATAAATAAATAATAAGCTTTGCTTATATGAATGTTAGTAGTAGCCTGCTTTGGTAAGTGCAACTCTGCAGCCAGACCCTTCTCTAAAAAGAACTTTAGAAAAGTTGTGATATGCAAACAAACTCCTAAAAGGCCGCCGTCATTTGCGATCTCCAGCAGTAGATCTTCTTGCAGAGACATATGTTGGATTAACCTGATTTGTTGACAAATGAGTTGCAGATCTAGTCCTTGGCAGTTCGCAAGTCCTTCACTGGGTCATTTCCCCTTAGCAACTAACAAGCCATTTGTTTCTTACTCATTTTACTACTTGTAGGGTAAATTTGGGTGCACAAGTGACCAAGATGTAAGCAAGAGAATACAGTCATTTTTCAAAATAATGATTTTCAAAATAAAAGATCATTCAGACTCAGATAATAAATAAAACTAAAATAATTAATGACTTCATGTGCGGCCTGGTACCAATTGATTAATTGATAGTCTTGTCTGAACTATCCATTTAATGTGTATTTTCAGAGATCTAAAGTTCTCAGTCGAGACGCATTACCATTTTCACCTTTTACGAACGCCTTTAAAGTTGTTTCTTGTGACCAAACTTCAGATGTGTTCAGATTTTGTCAAGAACCTTCAACAAACCCTTCATTTTTTCATTAAAGAACTGTAAAATCTACTCTGTCAATTCTCCACCTCTATCTCTCTCTCACACAATCCTGTGTTGTTATGCTTTCAGGTGACACACTGTTCATCGTGTTACGCAAGCAGAAGCTGATCTTCCTGCACTGGTATCATCACATCACAGTGTTGCTCTACTCCTGGTACTCCTACAAGGACATGGTGGCCGGCGGGGGCTGGTTCATGACCATGAACTATCTGGTTCACGCCGTCATGTATTCCTACTATGCTCTTCGGGCAGCCGGCTTTAAAATCTCTCGCAAGTTCGCCATGTTCATCACCCTGACACAGATCACCCAGATGGTGATGGGCTGCGTCGTCAACTATCTGGTGTATTTATGGATGCAACAAGGCCAAGAGTGCCCGTCCCATGTGCAGAACATTGTGTGGTCATCGCTCATGTACCTCAGCTACTTTGTGCTGTTCTGCCAGTTCTTCTTTGAAGCCTACATCACCAAGAGGAAATCCAACGCAGCCAAGAAAAGCCAATAAATGAGAAAATTATTTTACACTAGGAGAAGTTGGGAGGAAAAAGTGGACCAATGAATGGAAAGCAGACGGATGAGCTTTTGTGGTTAGGGCTTATGGACTTGCAGAAGTAAAAAGCAAAGACCATGAGGGGCTACTATCAAAGCATACTGTACTACTAATGTATAGAGATAAACCTCCACACCAGTAGGGGGCTCTATTGAGCTGCACTGAGGAATCAAAATGATTATATCAGTTGAAGAAAAAAAATGTGTCTTTATGTGATGTTTATGTGCCCAATGCGATTCAATGTGTTAAAAAATGTATAGATTAAAAAGGATGAAAGAAAAATTCAAGTTGAAGTTGAAATGGACTGGGACATTTTGAAAAAAAGAAGAAAAAAAATCAAAGAAAAATTATATGGATCAAATTATTATTGTGTGATTATGTCCAAACATTAAATGTTGCTCTTGCATTTTTATTTTTATTAATTAGACACTAGAGTGTTTTCGGTAGTTTTCTATGAAAGCCATGTCAATGGATGATTGGTCATTGTTGAGCTAAAAATGCCACAGTGTGTTGACTGTGTTCTGTGTTCATAGTCACAGCACCAAAATTCTCTCAGGTCTTAAAAGTTGTCCATGTGATGTTCATATCATTTTAGAAAAGAGAAATGAAAACAAAACAAAAAGGGCAACGACATGTTAATGCCATTGGATGCACAAAAAAAGGGAATGAAAACAAGATCAATGAAGGACATTTGGGTCAAATGATCATCAGACTATCTGCTCTCTCTGAATCTGTGGTTGTTTTGACCTCTGAAAGGCATGGCCTTCTACCCATGGCTTAAGGTCCTCATTTTTTCCAAAGACAGCCGGCAATGAGAGCCAAACTAGCCCTGTCTAACAGACCATAAAGTCAAGCATACTTGCATAAAATGTCTATATTCACTGTAACAAATCTGAATAATCTGTCACTGAATGGTGTCCATTGTGCTCGTGTGCATTTGCACTGTATACATGTAAAGCACCTATAGACGATTTTAACAAAGAGCCAAGAGTGCTGAAATAATATAGTCTCTGCATTTTTTATTCTGTTTCTCCCTGTTTACTTTGTTAAGGCTATGTGGGAAATACTGTGTCTAGTGCACTCAATTCTGAAATTCACTGTTGCAGTGAACACGCTCAGCGACATGCCAGATGGGAGCACTATTGCCTCAGCAACAATGACATAAGACATAAGTTCAGACTGTCCTGGTTTCTAAAGCCATACTGCCCAGCATGTTGTATATGTACAAGCAATTGTGTGAGAAAAACTGACAGACTAAAAAACATACAGTGCTCAGCACATATGATCAAATAACAATAAAATACACTTTTAAAAAAATCTATTTTACCCATGTCATACAGAATGCCTCATGTTGAGAAACCATTCAAGTAACAATTCCAGTTATAAAAAGGTGGATATTTTGGTAAACTAAAAAGATATTTACACACAGCCAAGTTAAGGTTACTCTGTGCTTGCTCAAAATTCTGTGTAAAGACGCATTGCAGCATAAAAACCCCATTAAATTTAGCCTCTGATCTGCCTTAGCCTTTAGAATAATAGTACACAGTTGATTTTCTGTGTAGTGCTTTTATGGCACTTCTGAGAACCATTAAACAATCTGCGCAAAGACCATTAAATGCCACATCAGAAGCACCATTTAATGCCACCTGTGTATGAAATGTGCATCAGTGCAGATGTAAAATGATTTGGAATTACATGCCACTTTAATTCTACAAGTACATATAATGAAACGTGGTTGTAAATAATTGTTCTATATGAGAACAATCGGGTCCTTCACAGTTTTGCCTTACATACCCATTGCTTCTGAAACAAAAAAAAACAGTGATGTGACTGACATGATAGTTTTTTTTTTTTAAAGACTGTCTACACTCATTCAATGAGAATTACTTATTCAGCACCAAGCTACAAAAAAACATGCAAGATGTTAAATCCTGTTCAGCCATTGTATCCACTTTCTTATTCAATGCTCTCAATAGATTTCTTTGAAGATATATATTCCATTGTTTTGTTTGCATTACAATCACATGTACAGCAATACACTTGATTTGGCTTACTCACTGGCCTATGGAGAAATGCCACAAAAAGCCTTAGGTCAGATATGCCATGCTCTGTCTAGCTCACAAAAAAAATCAGTTATCATTTTGAAAGGTCAAAGACTCTGCAGACAGTACAGCGTGTCAGTCGGGACTGCTACGGGTTTGAAACTACTGCTTCCAGAAATCCATGCATATGTATTAATACATTACTGGAATGAATGAAAACATATGAGACCAAACAGTGTTGAGTACTATGCTAGATATGGTCAGGATGGAATACAACACAGTTATTGTTAACAACTTAATAAATAGGTAAAGCAAAGGATATTATTCCTAAATAACAGATTAAGTATTTTGTTTCAATGCCACATGATTTGACTATCAAGATTAACGTAGACAGTGACATGCTCTTAGGTTTCTATTTATTAATATGTTTTAATAGTTTCAACCACCATTAACATTTGGCAGTCTGACCAAATAATGTTTCAAATTGCAGCTAGTATTATTCATTCATTTTCTTGTCGGCTTAGTCCCTTTATTAATCCGGGGTCGCCACAGCGGAATGAACCGCCAACTTATCCAGCAAGTTTTTATGCAGCGGATGCCCTTCCAGCCACAACCCATCTCTGGGAAAACAGCTAATATTATGTCTGGCTAAATCACACAGGAAATGGCAAGTCATATTAATCACAATGGATTGTGGGAAAGATAACTCATTACAATTTTTGCTATGTATAAAAGTGTTTAGTTGCATGTGAAATCACAAACTGTTTTGAGTAGGTAGTAGCTTTCTCCACAAGCACTAAAAACTAGGCTATCCAGCCTAATATTAATGTGTTTATGGTATGCATATCATCTTGATGTATTGTATCTGCCATGTTGTCATACTGGTACATATTTACTTCAGAAAATTAAGTTTAAAATAAAAAATAGTTTTTCACCTACTATACAAGTAGGTTAGAATGCAATTAGGCATGGGACGATAACCATTTTCAAAGTAAACCACGAAAAGTCAAGGTTTTAAAACCACTAACATTTTCTATTATATAATTTCTATGGTTTATGTAAGATTTTTTTTTTATGTTTTTTTGTTTGTTTGTTTTTTAGGACAACAGTATCTCCAGCAGAAAAGATATTTAAATAAATCGTAGCAGTAGAAAATTGTAAAGATATCCGTGTTTTTGAAACTAATGAAGACAGCAGAAGTCAATGATTGATTTGAATTATTGTAATATACGGTTTTAAAATATTTGCAATATTACCCAAATTAAAATATACTGTGTTCAACAAAGAAAAAAGCTTTTGTTTTTTACCCAGACATTTAAAACAAATATATTTTAGGGCAGTAATAATCTTGATACCATGAAACCGTGATATTTTTATACAAGGTTATCATCCTGTCAGAATTATATACAGGCCCATGCCTAAATGCAATTACAGATGCAGTACACAATTACATGTACTACAACAACAGAGCAAATAATTTTACTAAGTACTCTGGTAAACCTTATAACTATAAAAATCTAAGATAAAAAAGGTCTATATATTCATCCAGGTAAAACAGCAAACTCAATAAACTAAAATGCCTCTTATACATGCTCAAATTTTTATTCATCTCCAGCTGGTTATAGTAAGTGTTAGGGAAAGTTACGTTTAAAGGTAAAAATATAACAATGTCGCGCTACAGCCTAAAAAGTAACTAAATGTGGTGTTTAGTTACTTTTTAGGGAAAGTGATGAATTATTGAAAACAGTTTCTTCTGTGTTACGTTTTCATCTGGCTTGTGTGGTAGAAAAAAATTATATATGTATTTATTCATTCATTTTCTTTTCGGCTTAGTCTCTTTACTAATCCAGGGTCGCCACAGCGGAATGAACAGCCAACTAATCCAGCACATGTTTCACGCAGCGGATGCCCTTTAAGCCACAACCCTTCCCAGGGAAAAATCCATACACACTCATACACTACGGACAATTTAGCCCAACCAATTCACCTAACCACGTCTGGGGAAACCAGAGCACCCAGAGGAAACCCATGCGAACACAGGGAGAACACGCAAAATCCTTAGAGAAAAGCCAACTGACCCAGCCGAGGCTCGAATCAGCGACCTTCTTGCTGTGAGGCAACAGCACTACTTACTGCATCGCCATACAGTTGAAGTCAGAATTATTAAATCGATTGAATTATCAGCCCCCCAAGTCCACCCCAATTTCTGTTTAGCGGAGAGAAGTTTTTTTCAACACATTTCTGAACATAATTGTTTTAATAACTCATTTCTGATAACTGATTTATTTTATCTTTGCCATGATGACAATAATAATATTCATATGCTGGATAATTTGGCGGTTCATTCCACTGTGGGAACCCCTGATGAATAAAAAGACTAAGCTGAAGGAAAAATTATAAATGAATGAATAATAATAATATATTTTTAAAAATATACAGCAAGAAACGTTAAGTGAAAAAACAGCAGGCTGAATCAAATGAAATGAAACTTTGTGTTGATTTAAGGGATAACGAATCTGTTTTAAGCACATTTGATCATGCACATTTACAGTGTAGTCTCAGGTTTACTCATCATAAATGACATCTGCACTTGTTCCTGAATTCTCTAAACAGGGGTACAGGGAATATGTCAGTCAATAAATGAGAAGTTTCTGATTTTCCCTTTTTTTATTACAAAGTAATGTTTTACCTAATAGTTACTTGAAAAAAAGTTATCTGATTATATAAATTACATCTGATTCTATTAACCCCATTAACATTGGTTGTAGACAACACATCCTGAAAAGACTCCACATCAAAATGGGATTTTAACATTAGGCTACACAAAAAGCCTTTGTGCAAACAATTATCATTGAAATCAAGTACAAAATAAACGTCAAGCTTGGCCAGCAATCAGCATCACACGTGTTGTGTAAAATTGCGTGTTTCTGTATTAAAAACCAGCTCAATACACGTCCTTTAAGTTAAGTGTCAATCAGTGCGAGTTAAAGACATGAGAAAATAATACATTTAACAAACTGCTGTTTCAAATACTGTATCCTACCTGTTCCACGGGCTCGTCGATGCTCAACGAGGACAGTAAACACCTGCATTCTCGAGACTGCGGCATTCTATAATTGCTGTTTGACATCGCCACCTGCTGGACAGGTGAAACTCACGCAAGATTAATTTGAAAGTACTTTTCATTACTACTGCTTTACTGCTGGATTTATCCATTTACAAGGTTCAAGTCAAGACACAAGGGTATGAAGTCAAGACACAAATGCAGAAATTAATCTGAAAATATGTGACTGTGTCTGTTAACTGTACAGGCTATAGGAATTATAAGAATAAATTGAATGTCATCACATTTATAAGCTATATGGCTTCTTAAACATAAAAAACGTTACAAAATTATAAATTTCCATTGTATAGACCATTTTTCATTATTTTAATGCGATGTCACAAATAATACTTGTCCTGGTGAGTTAAAATTGCCAGAAATGAAAAGACTTAACTTAAATATTTTTGTTTGCAAATACATTTCAATTACTTTTTTTTTTTTTACTTTATTTAATACTTTTGTAAATTACTTTACTTACTCCCAGAGCTATCGAAGTTGATATTTAGCCACACCATGTTGGTGTTTCGTAACATCTAACTTAATTTTTACGAGACGTGTCCTTAGCCCATCGCTCAACCCCTAACCTGGAGGTCCAGGACAGGACAAACACACATACACTACGGACAATTTAGCTATAGCTTGTGGGGGACTTTTATCAACTGCAAACTCCACAGAAACGCTAACTGACCCAGCCGGAGCTCGAACCAGCGACCTTCTTACTTTAGGCGACAGCTATACCCACAGTGCTGGCCCAGGTTAACCTAAATAAAATATGTCGCCTAATGAGGGAAGACGTGTTATGATCACATGACTAATTTCAATACTATCGTTAACGTACTTACTTTATCAGTAAGGTTACTTGCTACATCGTTTATATCGTTTGCGAAACACTGTGATGAATGAAAAAATTCCAAACACTACAGGTAAGTTACATACATACATACATACCAGAGAAATTGTGTTGTTTATCTTTTCAAGTTGTGTTTTCTTTCGCTTCACCATAGTTTACGTTTATAGTAAAGTCAGGCATGTGCTGCCGTTGACAGATTTGAATCAGTCAGTGCGCTGGCTGCGCGCGCTTATGACTGCACATGCGCATTGGTTTGCCAAAATATAAGCGATTTAATAAAAAGAACATATAAGACAGTTTATGTGATTTATTTAGTTACTGAATTAAAATATTGTTTAAATGTGAGTGGAGAAAGCAGTTTTAGAGATTTTGGTATTTTCACAACGAATGCTGTACGTATCAAGGTCTTGCCTACTTCACAGAGGTAGAAAGAGTTCTGAAAAATCATACTCAAGTAAAAGTACCATTACTTGCCTAAAAATGTAGTGCAAGTAGAGTAAAAGTGTCTGTTGTGAATATTACTCAAAAGTATGAGTAAAACGACCTTTCAAAAGAACTCAACATAAGAGTAGTGTGTAGTGAGTATTACGCTTTTAAAAGCTGATCCATTTACATGTAATGTGTCCATGTGTGTGTGTAAACGTAACATTCTGTAGTCTATCGAGCTATTGCCCAGCAGGCACACAACGTCATAAGACATTAGATTAAGGTTGTAATGTCAGGTGACCAAAATTCAATGTCTAGTCAGCGTCTAAGGATGTTATTTTGATGTCCAATAATGACATCAAATGACGTTGATAATTGGTCAAGTGACATGCTTTTACAGGTTATAAACTAAATTTTGCAGTTTGTACTAAATGTTTTGAGAAATGCATTAACTGTTGTGCAAATGTAAATAGTGTTGTGAGAAATACATGAAAGCAACAGAAAAACTGTAATACCTCAAATACCAAAGTACACAATACCTTTGTACTTAACAAGTACAAAAATGCTCCTCTCAAATTTTTTAGGTATATACTTTGAGGTACCAATAAGGACTCTTTAAGTACAAACGTGTACCTTTTGAAAAGGTACTACCCCAGTGACAGCTCGCGTACCTTTATTTCTGAGAGTGTAGAGTGGTGCTGCAATGACATTACCAGAAGAACCAGAAGAACAATTTGCCAATATTCTGAGATATCCTTATGGGGTTTATTAATTGGATTTTTCAGTCTATATCATTATGTTTACCAAAAACATATGTATATATTTTTTCATAAATGAAAAATCTTGAGGGAACCTAAAGCAAATTATCCTGTTGTCATTTATAGACACACTAGAGCATTTCCCATAAGCCATTAAAAAGTTCTAACACAACATGACATCCATCATGAGTCTCCAGCACACTGCAGTGCTTTCTGATCTGACAGCTCTATTAGGAGACTGATGAGCATCCTTGTCGATAGAATTGAGCCTCAAGCGCATGTGCCTGTGCCCAAATTCATGCATTATCCCTTGCTCTAAATCTACTCAAAGCCTAGCAAAGCAGCACAGCTCTGGGCAGGTCACAGGCCACAAGGGCTCTGCGCTGACCTGGAGGATCAACAACAAAGCCTTTGAGTGGGCATCTAATGCCTTATTTAGTCTCCTCATCTGTGCACCTTTTGGAATCTCCACAGACCAACTGCTCTCTGTCTGATGGGAGTGGAAAGTATGGGGGGAAAAACTGAACGCAGAAAGAAAGACACTGATCCGTTGTCACAGGCCAAGCGCAAACACCTTTGTTCACACACTTTTCCTCTTTTCTCGCTCTCTCTCTGTCGCCTTCTTTCTCTTTCACTCTCAGGTGGATTAGCTCTCTCATCCTTTGATCCCCCCATTTTAATTCTCTACAGCTGAGAGAGGGAGTGTGGCCAGATTGTTTCAGATCCTAATTCACATATTGTCAGTCGGAAAAAGTGTGGAAATGTAGGTTGTTGCAGGACATAATGAAATCAGTGTTAGGAGGAGATAGTTCTTACAAAAATAGAAAAAACTGTTTTGCACTAAAAAAAAAAGAGTTTACTTGTTCAAATTACTTATTTAAAACGAGCTGAAACAACACAATTCTTGAGGTTTTTTTTGGACAATATAATTGTTTTATGTTTAATCCACTTAAATTTGTAGTATGTTTTATGTTCAATCCACTTAGAAACATTAGAAACAGTGTGTTATGAGATGTTATACAGTTTCAGGTACATTTCATACAAATATTATTCGATCAGCATTGTTTTTTTCTATCATTTTCGTTTGTAGTGGCGACATTTTAAACATAATACTTCATCTAAATACCCTAATATATTTATGATTTCAATTATATAACCAATGTGGGATAATAATCAAGAAAAATACCATGTCAGATTGGTGGAATTGTCAGATATCATTGATGGATAGATGGATGGATGGATGGATGTATGGATGGATACATGCATATATGGATAGATGGATGAATGGATGGATATATAGATAGACAGACAGACAGACAGAAACAAATAGACATACAGACAGATAATAGATAAACAGACAGACAACTAATGGATGGATGGATGTACGGACAGACAGACGATTAGGTGGGTGGGTTGATGGATGGTAATATAGATAGATGGACGGACAGACAGACATGTAAAATGTACATCCTTAAGAGTTATAAAATAAAGCTACATAGACTAAATCTGTTCACTGTCCCAAAATTTTTTACAGTAAATTAGCGGTGCAAATAATTATATTGACACAAATATGGCCCAGAAATTGTGTTGTGACCACTGGAAATTGAAGATGGCAAAATGCTTTGACATTAAAAAAAAAAAAAACGTGTCCAGTCATTTTGGAGTCTCTTGGCTGTTGAGAGACGTATTATCAGAGAAATTGATGTGGGTTCAATTTCATCTTTATTACAGGCTCCATTCCCCCCAGTTTGGAGTGCAACCTGGACTCCAGTGTTCATCGAATCAGAGAGCAATATATAGATAAGTGGACCCTCTCTAAAAATCAATAGATATGTGGGCCAGTGACGGCAAAAATAAAGAGATTAAAAGAGAGAGAGTGTGTGTGTGTGTGTGTCTATGTGCTTACAAAGTGCGTGGGTTGTTCTTCCCTGCAAACAAACAGCTAGCTAACAGTTGACCTTAGTCAAGAGGTCAGATGTTGCTGATAGTAGTCGTTTTTCATTCTGCTGTAAAATAGAAACATATGAAAGAGCTACTTGTATTTTATTCTTTCTTTAATTGCTTCACTTGTATTCTCATTTTTAAGTGGCTTAGTATACAGTTGTGTAAATGAATACATTTTAAATTTAAAAGACGAGGAAATTAATGCTACAATAAAATTAGTGTCTGCAGTGGGTACGGAATGTATTCAGACCCCCTTAAAATTTTCACTCTTTGTTATATCGCAGCCATTGGCTAAATTCATTTAAGTTTATTTTTTCCTCATTATTGTACACACAGCACCCCAATATTGACAGAAAAAAACACAGAATTCTTGACATTTTTGCAGATTTATTAAATAAGAAAAATCACATCAGACCTTTTGCTCACTATTTAGTAGAAGCAACCTTTTGATCTAATACAACCCTGGGAAATATGCAACAAGCTTTTCACACCTGGATTTGGGGATCTTCTGTCATTTCTCCGTGCAGATCCTCTCCAGATCTGTCAGGTTGGATGGTAAACATTGGTCGACAGCCATTTTTAGGTGTCTCCAGAGATGCTCAATTGGGTTTAAGTCAGGGTTCTGGTTGGGCAATTCAAGAACAGAGTTACAGAGTTGTTGTGAAGCCACTGCTATGTAATTTTAGCTGTGTTCTTAGGGTCATTGTCTTGTTGGAAGGTAAACCTTTGGCCCAGTCTGAGGTCCTGAGCACTCTGGAGAAGGTTTTCATCCAGGATATCCCTGTATACTTAGCCGCATTGATCTTTCCCTCAATTGGAACCAGTCATCCTGTCCCTGCAGCTAAAAAACACCCCCACAGCATAATGCGGCCACCAGCGTACTTCACTGTTGGGACTGTATTGGACAGGTGATAGGTTGTGCCTGGTTTTCTCCACACATCTTAGAATTAAGGCCAAAAAGTTCCATCTTGGTCTCATCAGACCAAAAAAACTGTATTTTTCGTCATCTTGGAGTCCTTCAGGTATTTTTTAGCAAACTCCATGTGGGCTTGTGTAGACCCACTTTGCCATAAAGCACCAACTGGTGGAAAGCTGCAGTGATGGTTGAATTTCTACAGCTTTCTCCCATCTCTGGAGCTCAGCCACAGTTATCTTTGGGTTCTTCTTTACCCCTCTCTACAAGGCTCCTCTCCCTCGATAGCGCAGTTTCACTAGATGGCCATCTCTAGGAAAAGTTCTGGTCATCCCAAACATCGTCCATTTAAGGATTATGGAGGTCACTGTGCTCTTAGGAACCTTAAGTACTGCAGAATTTGTTGTAACCTTTTCCAGTTCTTTGCCTTGCCACAATTCTGTTTCCAAACTTAATGTGTGCTAGCAGCAGTATCTAATATTGAGAACTAGTATATATTTTAAAAACAATATTTTTAAAAACATAATAACAGCAAATAATAGCCAACAAATAAGCAGTTCTTAACAGAAAAGATACTAGTAGCTAAAAGTGGCATGAAAACAGATACTAATGTAGTTTATAGAGTAAACTTTGGTTTCACTTTATATTAATTCACCCTAACTACTATGTACTTACAACAAAATATAAATACAATGCACTTATTGTGTTCATAATGTATTGCAGAACACTTCGGGTGCTATTGAGGTGGGATATGGGTAGGGTAAGGGACAAGTTTGAGGTATGGGTTCGTTTAAAGGTGGGTTAAGGTATAAGAGATGATCAACAGCGCAATTAGAAATATAATTTCAAAAATAATTACAGATGTAATGGCATGCAGGTATTTAATCAAGCATAAGTACAATGTAAAACATGTATTTACACAATAAGTAAATTGTAACAAATTATTAATTTAAGTGTAAGTATTACTTAAGGCCACTTAATATAAAGTGATATGTAAAATTTAAACCGAATATAATCTGCATGCTTTAGTATACAGTTTTTGTTCTTCACAATGCTAGATTTTTGCTATTCCTTTTAAATGAATCTTGGTACATTTGGAGCTTCAGATGATTTTGTTTTATTTTGGCATGTTTACATGTATTTACAGTTTGGTTGTAAATATGGATCTCCAACGTCACATCAATGAGAAGAAAAAGCTGAAGAGAATGAAAACAAAACCCATTCAGTCAGATGTTATTTCATCTTGAATAACATGGTCCTTCAGTATCCTCAAAACAGCAGAACTAGGTTAAAACCCTATAATCCCAGCATATACACTGTATGTTAGTAACACTGATATATAGATATGCCCAAATATTGTGTATAATTTATAAGACTTGTGAAACGTTTGACCAAGAAAGCAGAGCGGATTCTGACCTACTAACTTGAATAATTTACGCATGATTCAATCACTAACCTGAGATTTTAATCTGTTTAAATTTCATGTTTTTATATCTGTTTATATATTTTGGATACCGAGACATAAATCTGTTTAATAATGTTTTGATACGTGAGATTTCAGCATTGAATGTGTCTCTTTGTGAATTGATGTCAGCAGGTCCAGATACGCCACTGAAATGTTATTCTCAAACACCTGAAGCAAAATAGGCCAAGTGCATGTTATTTTCTGCTCACAAAGCAGGATGTGTGTCTGATTTTCCTCTTCAGCAGTTTTCCATTACTAAAACAGTGACGGTTTTTCATAACTATAATACAAAAGATTCAATATAAGACCCTACCCAATGTCTCGACAAAAAACGAGGCATCTTTACTATTTACAAAGCAACATTTGTTGAGAAAGGCTTTGGATTTTAGATCTAATTATGGCTCAATAGTGAAAAGAAATGGCAATCTTACAAACAAGATTTTCTTTAGATTAAATGAAATAGTCTCAACATATTTTATGGTTTTTACGGATCGCTGCATGGCTCATCTCTTGACTTCCGCAAATATGACGTGACCTACTTTTGTATAAAATCTGCTGACAGATAACCACATCTACTGTATGTGGAATCTTGTAAAAAAAAATGTACGGTAATGTATCGTAACACTGTATGACTTTAATCTTGAACATATTTACATTAGCAGTTCATGGGTCAGACTATTTGTGGTGAATCACTGGGATGATGTCGGACTCTGAGCATCCTCTAAGGAGATTAGATTATCAGTGGTTTTCTCTGTGAGCAGTATTTTGGGAATATCGCAGGATACGGAGCAGATGGCAACAGCCAGGCTACAACCATCTCTTTGTAGCTTCCCAGCCTCTTCTGAAGAAAATCTGTCTCCTGGTTTAAAAAGAAAACAACCACAATATATAAGAATACATTTATTAGATATTAGATATAGAAGAATTAGAATTATTCAAAGAAATAAAAAAATGAGTCATTGACATGTTTATTTTTTCTTGTATATGTAAACAATATCAAAATTAAAATATTCACTGTATATATTAGGGCTGCACAATATATTGTTTTAGCACTGATATTCCAATGTGTGAATGCGCAATATTAAGACCGCAGGATCTGTAATGTGGAGTCAGGATTATAGTTGACCAGGTACAATTATGGAGTCATTTCAGTGCAACCATAAAAACGTGAAAGTTTATTAGTTGTGTGTGTTTTAAGGCCTGTAACTGTTTAAAGCATTTGGGCACAAGGAATTATTGCATTTTGTAGCTTTAACAAAAACTTAAACAAAAAATAAAAATATTGCAATGCATAAATTCAAATAACCAAAGTAGATTTAGAACACACTTCAAAAATGTTTTAATAAGGTTACTTTGAGTTTTTTTAGACATATGTGCCAAAAATGAAACACATGTAGTTAATTAATTTGTTCTATCTGAATAAGCACGAACCATATACTGTATGTACTGTATACAGTAAATATGAACTTAGAAATTATTCTATGAACTATAACAAAAGTGTGGTGCAATCTATGGCTGAAGATCTTGTTTTATTTTATCATGTTTGTATTTACAGTTTGGTTGTAAATATGTATATCCAACATCACTTCAATGAGAAGAAGTTGAAGAACAGAATGACCCATTCAGTCAGATGTTATTTCATCATGAACAACATCGTCTTTCAGTGTCCTCAAAACTGCAGAATTAGGGTAAAACCTATATTAATTTATAAAACAGCACACTCAAAATTCAAATATTTACTGTACATATACAATATATTGGCTTAATATATTAGACCTATATAATTTCATAATTTCCCAATAAAAAAAATGGTTAAAAAACAAATATTAAAAAGTTTTTTAGTTATGGTTATTATATATTTTTTTATAGTTTTAATAAGGTTACTTTTGAGTTGTTTTTTTTTTTTTACATGTTTTCTGTTTTATAACTGTTCACCAGATTTTTTTAATGTGTTATTTTGTTTTGTAAAGTGCCAAAAATTAAACAAATGTAGTTTATTAATTTCCTTTATCTGAATAAGCACAAAATATATATGTACTGTATACAGTAAATATCAATTTATAAATTATTCTATCAACTGAAACAAACTGTGATGTAATCTATGACTGATTCATACCTGTTTGTGTAGGGCAAGAGGAGCATATTGTTGATGTGGTAGACTGTACATGAAGGACCTTATCAGCAGTGCAAGTAGAAGTGTCCAAAACTACATAGACCTGCATACACATAATGTGTCAATGCACAAAATCCCCAACAAAAACAAACAATTAAAAAGTTCTTAGGAATCTTCATACCTCTGGAGTGGCTGTTGTGGTCTCAGTGAAACTGTCTTCACTCGCACTCATTTCTCCTACACTGTCCTGTAAGGAACACCCTCCAAAATGTCTTTTAGGCCTGATAAACAACAAAACACTCTTATCCACTTTTTTCCAACACCCCATGTTGTTTTACATGAAAAAAAATAGTTACATTGAGATGGCATTAATCTCCTCAGTTTTTCCATCACATGTCAAAATTCAACCTATTCTAATTAGAAAATAATATTTAGCAGACCATGAATAACCTCAAAAACTTTCAACAGCAACATGTACATGTTGAACTTACTATACTGTACGGAATACAAAGAGAAAATTGGAAAATTGTGTGTTAAAAAGCTAGATCTTCTTGATTTGATATCACAAATACCTTGAGAGTACACTGACAAAAGCTGGTGCTAATATAATTAAATCTCTAAAATATCTTGTTACAGAGCAAAACATGTGGTTTCCTGTTGCCAGTATATATGCAAGTATATATGTTTAGGTCAAGACTTTTGTCTAACATGAGCTCTATAGTCAGATCGAACTTTGTATGCCTGAATTATAACTTTTTTATGAAATGGTGAAAGTTTGTCAGCTACAGATACTGTATGCCCTTTAAAGAAATTCTAGATCTTTGTGATTCAACTGATGCCTTTGGATTACACTGACCAAACTTGGTGCTGATATGAATAAATCTCTAATCTACACTGCGCTCCATTCGGAAGAGCTCATCCTTATGCCTATGACTCTCCCTTAGAAGGGTTTACCCTGCGGAGTGACAGCTTCAAAGAGATGGAGGGTGTAGGGGTCAAAAAAAGCTTCTCTTTGGAACGCACTTTTTCACCATTTTAGCAAGACGATCATAGAGGTTGCACTGTTTGTGCATTAGTTTATGGCCACAAAACACTAACAATAATATTAATAACAATAACAATGCGGTCACACTAGAGTTTGTGCGTGCGAAAATCTGTTGTACGGTGCTGCGAAAAGGGGCAGGATTAAACAACATGATTAGACGTTAAAAAAGCTAGCTCTGTTGGCGCAATAGCCTAGTGGTTAGAGCGCCGACATGCAGTAGCACTTCAGGGCGTCCCGAGTTCGAGTCCCAACTCGAGGACATTTCCCTACCCCCTCTCTCTCTCCAACATTACTTCCTGTCTCAATACTGTCTTATAAGGCAAAAAGGGCAAAAGTAAATATTTAAAAAAAAAAAGCGAACACTGTAAAATAAATCTGTAATTTTACGGTTTATTAAATGTAAAAAAAAAAAAATTCTGTAATTTTACAGTTTATTCACAGCAGCTATGGTGCCGGGAAAAAAGTAAAATAATGGTTGTTTAATTTACAGAAATTTTTCTAAATTTCTGTAATTTAATATCCGTTATTTTAGGAATTTAGGTGAATAGAGTAAGCTAAATTGTACTAGGTTGCAACTGGCAGGGCATCCGCTGTCTAAAACATATGCTGGATAAGTTGGCGGTTCATTCCGCTGTGGCGACCCCTAATGAATATAGGGACTAAGGTGAATAAATGAATGAATGAATGAATGAATGAATCCCATACCAGAGAAAAAAACATATTTTTTCATATGACAAATCTTTCCATTTTACTGATGAAGCCTTGTGTGCTTGAGTTATGAAGTCTGTAGGTTCAGTGACCTTTGAATGTATTTCCTTTGTTAGTTTCTGAAACGTTAAATGTCAAACTCATTGAACTGGCTCCTAGGAAATGTATTACATTCATATCTATGTAAATAGTAATCTGAGGTGTTTTGATTTTTTCCCGACAGTCTGCTAACTGACACCGAGGCCAAAACCAATCTCTGCATCCTGTTGAGTGAGAATGAAATCTGGAGACCTGCAGTGAGACGTGAAGGTATGATAAGTAGCATTATTACAAACGTGTATTTGATATGTGGGTGTCTCACCCCTACACCTGGGGCAATAATGGGCTTCGGGATAAACCAAACCAGTATCATGTTTGTATGTGTGTGCGGTGACAGCTGATCTAGATTAAAAAAAATTGGAAGAAAAATAAAATGGAAAATGAGTAACCAAGTGAAAAAATGCAATTTTTGACAGAAAAATCGCCACCCATGTAGCTTTTAAATAAGGTTATAGATCGCTGGGTCCATTTTAGGCAGCAGGAATGACCTATTTTGATGTGTAATTGCTGTAGTACAAGCTAAACCAAGCATGTAATTGAAAGCGTGCAATTGCAGCATTGAGGTGCAGAGGCTTGAGGAACCACACATAAGTATGCTGAAGAAAACACAACCTCATGGCTCAATGTCACTAAACCCTCCAAACACAGGCATAGAGAATTAGATACTTTACCAGGGCGAGGAAAATGTCACCCAGCTGTTTTGATGTGTGTGTATGTGTGTGTGTGTTTGAAGTCTACTGACACATGCTCAATGGGATGAAATCATCTTTAAATCTTTCCCTGGCCTTGGCTCAGGCCTCCTCTCCTAATAAACAATTTAATGCCACTTTTACACGCTGTTCACCCGCTAAAGCAGGGAAATGAACCCAGACCAGCAGCGATCGAACCATTACCGCTCTTGGATGAAATGAAAAAAAGTTGTTTTTGAGCCATTATTTTTGTCACAGTCTCTATTTTCATCTTGTCTCTTGAATCCACTACAAATCAGAGGCACAATTACATCTAAAAATGTGTTAGATGCTCTCGTTTTGAGCTTTTTTCAATTGGATATCTATCTTTCTATCTATCTATCTATCTATCTATCTATCTATCTATCTATCTATCTATCTATCTATCTATCTATCTATCTATCTATCTATCTATCTATCTATCTATCTATCTATCTATATATCTATCTATCTCTTTCCATCTATCAATCAATCAATCAATCAATCAATCTATCTATCTATCTATCTATCTATCTATCTATCTATCTATCTATCTATCTATCTATCTATCTATCTATCTATCTATCTATCTATCAATCAATCAATCAATCAATCTATCTATCTTTCTATCTATCTATCTATCTATCTATCTATCTATCTATCTATCTATCTATCTATCTATCTATCTATCTATCTATCTATCTATCTATCTATCTATCTATCTATCTGTCCTTACATCCATCCATCCGGCATTACATCTAAAAATGTGCTAGATGCTCTCGTTTTGAGCTTTTTTCAATTGGATATCTATCTATCTATCTATCTATCTATCTATCTATCTATCTATCTATCTATCTATCTATCTATCTATCTATCTATCTATCTATCTTTCCATCTATCTATCTATCTATCTATCTATCTATCTATCTATCTATCTATCTATCTATCTATCTATCTATCTTTCCATCTTTCCATCTATCTATCTATCTATCTATCTATCTATCTATCTATCTATCTATCTATCTATCTATCTATCTATCTATCTATCTATCTATCTATCCTTCCATCTTTCTATCAATCAATCAATCAATCAATCAATCTATCTATCTATCTATCTATCTATCTATCTATCTATCTATCTATCTATCTATCTATCCAGCATAAAATATATGCCGGAATAGTTGGCGGTTCATTCCACTGTGGCGACCCCTGACAAATAAGGGACTAAGCCTAATGAAAATGAATGAATGAATGAATGAATGAACAAGATTTTGTCAAGCCAAATGTATTATTATTACTGGCCAAACTTTTTTCTACGTATATGCCTTACTTTATAACTATATAAGATTTAAATTGTGCATCCTTTGCATGGCGTTCAATCCAGTTTCATTCAAATTCAGGAATTGAAATGGAATTTAAAATTGAATTGTAATACTTTAGGTGTCAATACTCCTTACTGTTGGTCATGTAGATTGCATATTTGTTTGAACATAAAATATTATATATTATTGCAGATCATTCATCTTTCACTCTTAACACCCATTAACAGAAATTATTAGTGTGCTATTAACATATTAGCTTTGCTCTAACTCTCACCTATAGCAGAAGGTGATGCAGGCAGCGATGGAGAGAATGGTGATGAGGAGCACAATACACACGGCTATAACCATATTCCTCCTCTTCCCCTCTTCAGCCTGCTGCAACTCCCACCATTCAAGATCACTGAACTGACAGCGCTCCCCCATGTAACCTAGCACACAGCTGCATCACACACACACAAAGATAGCATCATTAAATGCAATAGTCATCATATCTGTCAGGGTACAAAGAGATCCGAACTGAAGAATAAAATTGCACTGAGGAATATGATTAACGTGTGTCCTTTTTGTCAAGGGCAAACGTTCAACAAAAAGCTAAATGATTCTCAGTACAAGACTGCCATCTACTGCTTATTTCAGAAAGCTGTATTTTCAAAATTGGCTTTAGAGCTTGAGGGAAATATGGAAAATGCAAAAATAAGGACTATGAGGATCGGTCTGATGTTTCTGCATGACAAAAACTCTAGGGGTAAACACTTGCTTGCAGGCGTAAGACTCCATGTCAGGAAAATAGAAGCAGACTCCATCATACAGACAATACGAGTCATGTGTAGAGGGGCAGCTCTGCACGCCATTTTTGTGTTGCAATGTTGAAGTGACATCAGGAGGACTAGCAGTACTCGGCCACAAGGAGGTGCCATTAAACTCTGCTGAAACAGGAAACAGAGCATGAAAATCAGGTCAGTTATGTTGTACCATACAGTACTGCTAAATGTTAGTACATTTACTGTTAGTGTGTTCTTGTTAGTGCATTTAATCTTGCACAAATTCAGATTAGAAGATTGTATCAAGTTTAACCCATAATTACAGATAATGTGAATGCTATAATGGTTATTAAGAAGGTGGTTTTTCAGTTTAATAATTAAATCTTACCTTGACAGCTGAAACCAGTGCCTGTGAAGCCAGATCGGCATCTACATTGATATTCTCCTACGGCATTTAAACATTCAGCGTTTACATCGCAGTCATGCAAATCTAGTCGACACTCATCTATATCTGCAACAATACAAATATACAACATATATTTCATTTTTATTGGATTTATCTTAAACTTTAAATAACTAAATCTAATTTAAAAAATAACTAGTAAAACGAATAAAATTAAAATAAAAGTGCAAAAATAAAGTTGAAATTCAAAACGGACAACAAAAATATGAAAAAGTATAACTAATAATAAAAAACTAAAATTAAAAGCCACAGAAAAACTGTGTAATATTGAAGCATATTAGTACAATTTAAATAAAAATGTTCTATTTCACTATATTTTAAAATGTTGCTTTTTCATAGAAACGAAAACATGTTTTTCAATAAAATAAATGTATTTTTTTTGCAGTGTCAATTAAAAGCAAAAAAAGCAATTAACAGTGCTAGTAGCGATGGGAACTAGGGCTGCACAATACTGTATATCGTTTCAGTCTCAATACCGCAATGTGATCATTCGCAATAGTTACATCACAGCTCGGCAAACAATTTTGTGTTTAATAGACGTCTAACAGACATCTAAATGTAGTCGTCTTGGCTAAAACAAGGCTAAACTTGGGGTGTCAGTAAAAATCTAATAGACATCTAAGAATAGCCCAATATATCAAATAGACAGATTAGACACTTTATATGTGTAGTCATTCATTTCTGTTTATTTGATGACTAGTCTAGACAGCCCAAATTTAGCCTTGTTTTAGCCAAGACGACGACTATGTTTAGACATCTGTTAGACATCTATTAGACATCTTTTAAAAACAAAAAATGCTTGCTGGGAGGATATGCAGTGTTAAGTCTGGATTGTAATTGAATATTTGCATGTGTTTTTTTAGGTCTGTGATTTGTATGAAGATTTTAAAAGCATTCAGGCATAGGAAATTGTAACATTTGTAACTTGAATAATGATTATAATTATTGAATGGTTTATACAACAAAGACTATGCCATATTTTTGACATTTGATTATTCAATTGCTGTATACCTCAAAATAGTTGTTTATTGTTTATTTGATTTGTACATTTTCCTTTATTGTATTTTTCTATGCCGGTAAATTGTTTATTATGTTTTATACAGATGCACTACCTTACAGAATCTTTCAAATCAGTTTAAAATGATAAATTCTTTCCAGAGATATTTAAGTCATCTGGTGAAATTATATTCATATTGCAACATTCATTCATTCATTCGTTTTCTTTTCGGGTTAGTCCTTATGAATCAGGGATCACCACAGCGGAATGAACCGCCAACCTATCCAGCATATGTTTTACGCAGCTGATGCCCTTCCAGCAGCAACCCAAGACTGGGAAACATCCATACACTTGCATTCACACTCATACACTACAGCAAGTTTAGCTTATTCACTGTACCTATAGCACAAGTCTTTAGACTGTTGGGGAAACCGGAGCACCCAGAGGAAACCCACGCAAACACGGAAAGAACATGCAATCTCCACACAGAAATGCCAACTGACCCAGCCAGGGCTCAAACCAGTGACCTTATTGCTGTGAGGTGATTGTGCTACCCACTGCGCCACTGTGACGCCACATATATTGCAGAATAACAATATTGCAATGTTCAATCTTTCTAAAACATGCAGCCCTATCAATTAGTTTGTAAAATAGTGTTTAAATGAATGCGTTTTGTCATACCAACACAGTGATGACCATCTCCGCTGAATCCATTTTTGCACTGACAGAAATATCCGCCCGCTGTGTTCACACATTCAGCCTCAGAAACACTACAATCTGCCAGGCCTGCTTTGCATTCATCAACGTCTGTGTAAACAAATACACACACACACACACACACGCACATATTGTCAATACTGTATGCACTCATGCAAACAAGCCCAAATTTACATAAAGGCCGATCAATGCATCCAATAACAGGAGCATACTGCACCCACACACATATCAATATCCATACACTCAAATTCAGTTTCACACATACATCAGCAACCAACTGCTTGAGTCTATGTGGAATCAAAACCATCTGACATGTAGTGCAAACACACACAGACATGCACATAAAGGCCTCAAGAGTAAACAATCAAGTCCTCAACACAGATCCATGAGGCCCTCTTGAACACAACCTGTCTGGGATGTCTGGGATCTGCACCAATAACAAGAAGGATGTTGATGCTGATTAGACAGCAGTTCTACCTCTTCATTTGTTTGGCCAGAGGACAAATGGTCCCTCAACTGAGCTTGGTTTCTTTATTTCCATCAGTTTGTGAAGTTTTAGCTACTTGCCACTTTCGCTTTTGGCATTCAGATTTTGAGATCTTTTTTTTTTTAGGCCACATTTCACAATAAGGTTTCATTATATCCTGCATTTACTAACATGAACTGAGATCTAAGATTGAACAATATTACAGGATTTATTAATGGTAGTTAATGTTAATTTCAACCTTAAACATCCTGTGAAGTGCTTTGAAATATGCATTTTTATTCAATGTTTGACATAATCTCAACCGAAACACGAAGAGTGGGACATAGTGTAGCTCCTCCCCCTTTTAAAAAATAGCCAATAGCATTTTGTTTTATCACTGCTGTGCAAATGAGAGAGGTTGAGCTCAAGTGCATCAAATGAAAAGCAAATGAGAAGCGTCTTGAAGAGGGCGGGGCATGTCAGACACTAGAGAGCATTTGATTGGTTATGATTTGATAAGAACCTGAAGTATGAGGTGAGGTTAATAAAACTGTAGATCCGTTTAGGCAGAAGTGACAAACTTTACATGTTTATATCAGTGTACATCTTCTAAACATGAGTTTTGTCCCTGTTTTGGAGCAGACCAGCTTATAGAGAAACTAACAATACTGATGCAAACATCTAAAAAACGTTATTTTAATTTCATGGGATCTTTAATTAATGTATTAATAATATTCAAAGTTGTACTAGTTAACATTAGTTGGTACACTGTGAGTTTTGTTCATTGTTTGTTCATATTAGCAAATACATTAACATTAAAGGTCCTGTGAAATTAAAATAAAATATTTTAAATGAAACTTTCAGTCTGGTAGATTTTATTAGGATATCTATTAGCTAGTTCTGTTAGGAAATCTAATAGCTAGTGTGCTCCAAAACAGTGACAAAATTCACATTTACAAAATATGAAACTGATATAAACATCCACAGTCTGCAGTGTCAGTTCAAGTTGCTTTTCATTTGCTTTTCATTTGATGTGCTTGATCTCAACCACAATTGCTGGCAGAGCTGTGATACAAAAAATGAAATGCTATTGGATGTGGAGGAGCTACTTATGTCCCACCCTTTCTCATTTTTCAGTTGAGATTACGTCAAACACTGGGTAAAAAATGCACATTTTAAAGCACTCCACAAAACCTTTAACATTACCAAATGGAACCTCATTGTAAAGTTTTTATGTTTTTTTTTTTTTTTTTTCTGGCGGCTGTTCACAATATTTTCAGAAAAAGTAAATGATAAAAGAACATACACAAACTCTATAACAACCTTTGACTTCAGTTAGTATATCCAAAAAATGAGACAAGAAATTTTGACCCTGACTTCGTTCAATGTTAACACTTTTGTACTACAGATATGCAAATTATATATACAACAGTTCTGTCTGGTTCTCGAATCTGATTGGCTGATAGCCGTAATATATTTAGGTAAGATCTAAAATAATCAGATCTAGTTTAAAAGATGCTTGTTCAGCTGTTTAACTGTCAGCTTATGATTTGAATCTAACGCGGAAGAAAGTAATTCCTCATACAAAAGGGTTTTTGAGACTTTCCGTGTTAGATTTTGTTTTTATATACACAATTATGTCGACAAACTGTTGTATAAATGCAATATCACACTCGTAGCAGTGCGATATGGCTGTATATCGGCACTGGTGGGAGCACTAAGGCATGGCAATGCACGCCTCCTATGAGTGTGATATCGCTCATATATATATATATATATATATATATATATATATATATATATATATATATATATATATATATGTATGTGTGTGTATATATATATATATATATATATATATATATATATATTCTCTAGGTGACTTCTAAAATGACCCTATTTCCAAATAGTGGAGTCTTACTTATACTGTATAATAATGCCTAATATTCATATTTATTGCCTTCCCTAACCTGCTTTCACCAAGTAGGACAGGTTCCAGTATTAACATTTATGTTGTTCCTGGAACAACATTCCAATCAGCCAATCAGAATTAAGGCACATGTTTAGTTTATTAAGTTTGTTAAGTTTAGGCTTAAGTTTAAGTTTATGCACTTCTATATGATTGTTTTCTAACTATTATTCCCATCTGACTTTTTGGAATAATTTACAGTTATGGTTGGGTTTAGGGGTAAGGAACAGGTATGGATTACATTTTCTAACAAAAATGATGTTCCAGGATCAACATAGGTGTTAATACAGGATCGCAAAATCATGACATGCTTATTGCCTTGATCTCTAAAGTTGCTCTATTTGTTTTTGAGTAGAGCTGCACTTTAGTGAATCACATGACATTCAACAATGACATTCATATTGAACTAAATTATCATTGAACTGAATAGAACAAAACCAGCATTCTGTGGAACTGAGGTGACGTTTACAGTACTGCGTTTTCATAAAACATATATTTTGTTACGATTACGCCAGGCATCTACACTTTAACCTGTGTAAACATGCTATAGAAAGAACATTGGCTTGATGTGACTTGACACTTACCCACACATAACTCCCCATCACCAGTGAAACCCCTCACACATTGACACACAGCCCGGCCCTCCTGCAGAAAACACTGAGCGTTCACAACACAGCTGAGAGAGAAGCAGTCATCCTGATCTGAATGAGACAAAAATCACAATTTAGCATTCTGACACTTCAATATGAACAATTACAGTAATCTGTGGTTAAAAAAGTAACACTTTTAAGTAACACTTAAAAGTACATCTAACTTTAGAGTATGATCTGGCTTTTGGGTTAGGGTTAGTGTAATTTATTGCAACATTACTTATCAGTAGAATGTCTGTTGGTGATGCAGTGATAGCAGATATTAAGTAGACAGTCTACTAATACTTTAAAGAATGCTAGTGGACATGTAGTTGCAAAGCATAGATATATACACTAGATATCGCATAGGGACCCTGAGCATGCGTCAATAGCGCCGCCACATTGGTACAGTGCTCCCAGGACAAATGTCATTCAACCGCACTAGTCAAGACAGTGTTATTACGTGAAGATGCGGGACTTTAGCGCTGTCTACGGGTGTAGTTCCAAGCAAACAAAGAAAACAAAGCACAAAGGCAGAACATTTCATAGGTAATATTATGTTTTTTTCTTTTTTTGTATGTTCTGAACTTTTGTGCTAATCAGGTAACGTTATTGAGGATAACAGTCACTTACTGCATTCACCATACGGCAAAGCAGCTCCAACTTGCACTAAACACTCGGCTTATGCTAGTTTTGTTGAATAAAATCAGCAAACAATGCAAAAGAAATATGACATTCAGATGCTGCGCTGCCAGAAACTTGTATTATTGTCAGCTAACGTTAGTGAAAGAGTCGTTCGGGGCATTCATTCACAAACGAACCGCTCTCTCCGTCAGTATGAGAAGTGAAAGCAGGAGAGGAGGTGTGTTTCAGGACACGGATTAGATTAAATTTAACAGGGAGGGTGAATAGTAAATTTCTGTACACACACACACAAGCTTTTTGTCAGGAATGCCCGTGCGGTCACTAATCCATCAATGTAAAAAAGTGATGTAAAATTATAATTTCGTAATTAGACAAAAAAAATACATACTAACATCCAGGAAAACTCCCGATCACAGATATATGTGTAAATGTGTATATCTCTGGCTTTGCATGACCACAGTCCTCCACTGTACCTTGGTCCCGCATTCTTTTCAAAGGAGCGCTACCCTGTAGCAAGATGGCGGCGCTATTGAAGCATTCCGTCCAATAGACAACAATAGGCCAGGCGACATCTAGTGTATATATCTATGGTTGCAAAGCTACTTTTAGCCAACTGATGGTGTAAAGGGACAAAAGGTTTCACCAAAAAATCATAGGATTTCCAATAAGTAAGATGCATGTCGGGCATTATGGATTTTATAATGTAGTATATATGGACATAATTGCAGAATCCAGTTATAAACACTGAATTATATTTCTATATTGCACAATGTAACATAATTTTTACAATTTGGCATTGTATACTGACTGAAACTACAATGTAGTATCAGTGAATTTGAAAAAAAGTTTTCATGTATGCCTATTGCAATTTAAATGTAAATGCACACTATTCTTAAGGAGCGCATATCTCCCTTTGTAACATCATAATTAAAATGAGAAACAAATATATGGTCTATATCAGGGGTGCTCAATCCTGTTCCTGGAGATTTACCTTCCTGCAGATTTCAGTTGCTACCCATATCAAACACACCTGAACCAATTAATTAGGACCTGAACACCACATGATAATTACAGGCAGGTATGTTTGATATGGGTAGCAACTGAAATCTGCAGGAAAGTAGATCTCCAGGAACAGGATTGAGCACCCCTGGTCTATATGGTCTTTTATCATGTAAATATATGATAAAAAAGATTTCTATAGATGTTGTACCTGAAACCATCTTCTCTGTGTAAAGCATTGCCAGTGGTGTGCTCTCATCATTCAGGGTTTTGTTTCTTAGACCATCATTTGATCCACCTTCACTGGACTCTATGTGGAAAATACAACAATTTTTAATGAGATGATTTCTGAACTTTTGAAGCTTTAATGTGAACAACAGATTTTATACTTTAGTTTCATTCCCACTACACTGACCACTGAATGATGCATTAATCATCCGACACCCTTTGCCATCAGCTGAAAGAACGTGATTGGTGTGACAGGAGCAGTGAGGGAGTCCCAGTCTGCTCACACACACTTGAGCACATCCTCCATTTCCATCCAGACAAACATCTGCTCCTAAGAGAAAGAAACATGCAGTGCACTGCAGTCAACTCATTCCTGTTGGGTTCTGAGCCTCTTAAGATAGTAAACATTAGAAAACACCAAGACAATAGGATAATAATAGAAAACAGCGTCTGTACCTGGTTTGGCAAGAGGATGGACAACAACCAGAGCAGCTGGTTGAATGGAGTCAACAAGTAGACGCTCAGGGTTTTGACCAGATCTCATGTCCAGCCGGAAGATCAGGTGATTCTCCAGATCACTGACCCAGAGCACGTTCTCAAATACTGCGATATCAAATGGACGATCTGAGACAAATTTACAAAAGCAGGACATATTACACACAGTTCATTCATGTAACATTTTCATGCATGCATGCATACGGTATAAGTTAGTGTACTGAAATTGTGTGTGTGTGTGTGTGTGTGTGTGTGTGTGTGTGTGTGTGTGTGTGTGTGTGTGTTGTTCTGGTATTTATCACATTGTGGGGAACAAATGTCCCCACCAGTATAGCATTACTAGTGCCATAAGAGGAATTTCTTTCTTTCTTTTTTTTTTGGTCCCCATAAGGAAAACAGCTTATAATTCATACAGAATAGACTTTTGAAAATCTAAAACTGCAGAATATTTTCTGTGAGAGTTTTTTCAGTTAAAAACTCATTATGGCTATGGGAAGTCCCCATGAAGGATGAAGACACAACATGTGTGTGTGTGTGTGTGTGTACTGTTTTTGGTGGTTTACAAGGACAGAACTGTGTATAATGGCATACGTATGACCCAGTTGTTCTCTATTAAGTTGGTGTGTGGGGACATGCCTTTTGTCCTCGTAATTCAATACTGTTCAAAATCATAATTAACGGCAGAACTGCACGATATTGGAAAAATCTGACAATGGGTTGATTGCTTTTCTGCAATATTTATTTGCAATATGAATAACATTTCACCAGATGACTTAAAATAGATCTATTTGTAAGAATTCAGGTACAGAAATTGAATAATCAAATGTAATATACACTGCATATTAACACGGTATAGTCTTCATGCAGAGATTTAGACATTGCTATGCTGATGCTAAAACAATATATTTGGCAGCCCTACTTAACACTGTCTTTTTGTAGTTAAAATTTGCCATATGCTTCCCATGAGGGTTTTGTTCAGAGTTGGCGGTGGAGTAGTGTAGGGCCATATAAAAAGTGTTTTTAACTATATAAAATACATTTTGCTTATGGAGAATCCTCACAAACCACCAATACCAATATGTGTATGTGTGTGTGTGTGTGTGTGTGTGCGTGTGTGTGTGTGTGTGTGTGTGAGTGGGTTTTGACAGAGGAGCCTCACCTACTTGGTTCTGGCTTATTACACGGCGATGAGAACCATCCAGGTTGGCTGACTCAATCACACTTGTGCTCATGTCACACCAGTACAGACGCTGAGAGCCATGATCCACAGCCAGTCCACTGGGAGACACCAGACCGGTGCTGACCACTGCTTCACGCAGGTCTTTGTCCAGACCTGACCGCTCCACTGCAGGACGATCACCCATATCTGTCCAATATATCTTCCTCCAGACACACAGAGGAGAGCTTCATGATTATAGTACAAGATCCATGATATTTCATATACAGTATTGAACAGAGCTGCTTGAAATGGCATGATAAAAATCAAATGCTATATTTTACATTTATATTTTGTCATTTAGCAGATGCTTTTATGTAGAATAAGGAAGACATCAAGCAATTCATCACAGAGGAAATACTCACAAAAATGTGCCAAATATACATCACTTTTTTAGCATTTAAAAAGAACAGCAACTTCAAAATTTACTTTTGCAATGCATGACTTCCAGAAATAGTGAAGGACTCTTTTTCAAGATGCCATTTGGTTGAGTGAATTAGAGCTGTGTGATATGGCCAATAAATCTGTATTTTCTTTTCTGAATTGAGATACATATGACGTATCTTCATTCATTATGTAATATATTTTATATTATATAATAATTTTATACAATATTTACACTCTGCCCAATGCTGTCAAGTGAAACAAAGTTCATATTAAATGCTATGTTACGAGCATTTGTAGTGAAGTGTAGGCTTTTGTGTGGTGTTTCTTTCCTTCTCTCTTCTCTCTTTCTCTCTCTCTCACTTCAAAGTATTCGCAGGTGCAGCGGATCACGTTGGGTCAGATCATGATTGGCGCTTGGATTGGCAGCGGCTGTATTTAACCCTTCCGAGAGCATGGATTCGATGGCTCCTTGCTCAAATGAGTATTTGTTGCTTAGGTGGCGTTTTGTGAGATGCCGATGTGACATTTTTAATTCTAACCGGAGAAACCCGGTTTTCTGTCTCTCTGTCTGGCTTGGAGCATGGTAGGGAGGTTTGGTGCCTTCTATTTGTAATTTTCGTTTTCTTCTGTGTTTGTTAGTAGGGAGGTAAGTTTTCTGTATTTTATTTTATTATCTGTTTTCTATGGAAGTTTGATCTTATTTAATTAGCTTGGTTTATTGTCATTTATTTTGGCTGAACCCCTCCCGAAGTTATTTTTGCTCATTTCTATAAATAAATCATATTTTCTTGTTAATTCTCAGTGGTTGTGTTTTTGGTTTATGTTTTGGGGAAAGAGAGCGCGGGGGCACCAGCGATGATATTTTTAATCCCTGTTATTTTGTTAAGTTTTGGTTAAACCATTTTTTGATTTAAAGATTTTTAATTTCATTCGTAACAGCTATAAAAACACAATTTGTGAATGTTATCCATATATGTTATGCTACACAGTATGTGCAAAAAAAAAAAATGACAAAGAAAAGTAATGCTTTTTGTTCACTGAACTTGATCAACAAAAACATATCCTGGTGCCAGGTCTAAACAGGGTCAAAACAACATTTGACTGGATTGTTCCCATATCTTCAAATGAGTTTGAATAGCCAAAAAGGGCAAAACTGGTCAAAAGAGAGATCAACCAAAAGCATTGTAATACCAGGTGTTTACAAGGCTTTGGATTTGTGCCGAATACAAGAGAAATGAGAAACATAATTCAAGTATGTCAGTTATAAATATGATTTATTGTAAAAGCCTCAATATTTTTGTCAGCTTGTTTCACACTTATATTTTTATTCCTTTTTCTGCATAAAATTTAAATAATAAAAAAAATACTTTGTGTAGTCAACTACGCTATTAGATTATTTATTTTACAATATTTAGGTCTACCAGATTATTTTTACAATATTTATAAAAAATGACAAATAATGATAAAATGTTAATTGTACTCTAGACAGCATGGTGGCTTAGTGGTTAGCACTGTCGCCTCACAGCAAGAGTTCAAGTACCAGCTGGTCCAGTTGGCATTTCTGTGTGGAGTTTGCATGTTCTCCTCGATTTTCGTGTGGGTTTCCTCTATGTGCTCTGGTTTCTCCCACAGTAAGGCAGGTTTATTTTATTTATTTTTATTTACAGTACAAACATGTGCGCTATAGGTGAATTGAATAAACTAAAATGACCATAATGTTTGATTGTGGGTGTGTGAATGCGAGAGTGTATAAGTGTTTTCCACTACTGGGTTGCAGCTGGAAGGGCATCCGCTGCGTAAAACATATGCTAGAATCATTGGAAGTACATTCCACTGTGGAGACCCCTGATAAATAAGTCGAAGCAAAATAAATGAATGAATAATTCTACACTAATATGACTGATTTTCTTTAGTCACGAATTAAGAACTAGACAGACTGCAGAGAAAGCGATGAACATACAATTTGATAAGTCTTACTGTGCCTGAGGATGAAGAGCGATGCCTCTGGGTTTCTGGATGTTTTCATTAATAAAGATCTCTCTGTCAAGACCATTTAAGCTGCTGCGGGAAATCGAGGACAATCTGAAACACAGAATGTTGAATTCAGTTCTGCAAGTAAGTTACAGTTTTGAGGAAGTGTGTGTATGTGTGTGTGCCTCACCCACTATCAGTCCAGTAGAGCTTGCGTTGAATCCAGTCTACAGCCAGAGCCTCAGGGGAGTTCAGTCCAGTAGAGACGAGCAGCTCTCTGAATCCTTCATCCAGAGAAGCTCTCTCAATGTGCTTCAGGCCTTTATCAGCAAAATACACCTAAACACAAACAAACACACACCAACATTACCATTACTTGATCACAATTTCAAATAATACAGAAACCATGTAAAAAGATAAGGATATGTTAATAGACCAATTTTTTTTTTTTTATTAAACCCAAGCATTTGTTCTGATTTGTAAAATTCTGTATTTTTAACCGATTGTTTTGCAATTTGCAAGATGTATCAAAAATTAAACTACATATAGAAATCAATTAAATAAATAAATAAAATATATTTTAAATATAAGGAATAATTTAGAGTTAATACAATTAATTAAAAATAATATATAAACTGTACAGTGCTCAGCATAATTGAGTACACCCCATTTTAGAAATTAATATTTTTATCCATTTCTCAGTGAATATATAGGCAATTTAGTAAACAGATATATTTATTAAAATTATATTTTAGTCACTAAGTATTTTTAGAAATTGAAACAATCCAATTAAATTCAAGAAAAATATTGCAAAAAACAAAAATTACAAACAACAAAAAACTAAATTTAAAATTTTTTGCTTCTCTTGATTTTTCAATTAATTCATTTTCTTTTCGGCTTAGTCCCTTTATTAATATGAGTTTGCCACAGCGGAATGAACCGCCAACTTATCCAGCATATTTTTTATGCAGCGGATGCCCTTCCAGCTGCAACCCAACTCTGGGAAACATCCATACACACTCATTCACACTCACACACTACGGACAATTTAGCCTACCCAATTCACCTGTACTGCATGCCTGTACTGTGGGGGAAACCGGAGCACCCGGAGGAAACCAATGCGAACGCAGGGAGAACTACTGTGTCACCCTTTTTAAAATCTGTATTTAATATTTTTATATAACATTAATTTGGGTGTACTAGTTTTTGGACTGTTATCGTAAGTTATTTTGTTAGGCTCCAGATTTAATGTATATGCACAAATATAATATTGTATAGCTTACTATTGAAAATATGAATTTAAAAGATTTGTGAGGGGTGTGCTTATTTATGCTGAGCACTGTATACTAAAATACAGAAATATAGAAATACAGAATTATAAATCAACTATGTTTTGAATTTACTAAATTATTTACCTCTATTTTACTGCGTTATTTTGGCTTTATGTATCTATTTATTGAATTATTTTTATATCTTTTTGTGGATTTACCAGTATATATTATCCCCATAGATATTATTTAAATTTTTACTTGTTATGGATTTATTTAATAATAGATTCATTTATTATTACGTTAGCACATTTTGTCCTTCACACTTATTAAGCTTAAGACAGAGAAATCCTGAATCAGGTTTTCTGCAGGTTTCACAAACTCAAATTTTAGACTTTTAAAGACCTTTTTAAGCCATTATTAAATGAAATTTCAGACCTGTACAGAGCTAAATACTACATTTTTTTTCTTTTAGTCCTGCTGAACAGAGGTTTATTTGCCCCATCCAAAAATTCTTCATTATTTTAGACATGGCATATGCTGTACAATAAAAGTATGTAAAAAAAATAATAAAGTTTTTTTTAACTAAACATTGATTTTTTTTTTTTATTTACTGTTTTTTTTAGGAATTAATTTTGATATTTCAAGAGTATATATTCATTCATCCATTTTTTTCGGCTAAATCCCTTCAAGAGTAATTAATTAAATGAATTAAAACCACATTATTTTATCTACCAGAAACAAAAATATAACATTACACTGAATTCATAATTTTTTGTGTGTGTGTGCCACTCAAAGATTTGGTGCGGCCTCTTTTGGCCACCCCTAAGAAAATTTTCTGAAGGCACCACTGTATAAACAGACTTTGGTTGAATGTATTGCATTTTTTAGATGGATTGTTGGTGACTGGATAGTCTTACATAGAGAGAGGAAAACTAATAAAAGATATTTAAAAGGATTTAAATCCTATAAGGCAATATGTAAGTGAATTTAAGAGTTTTTAAGGACTATTTACTGTTTAAAATTTTAAACAGTTTAAGACTTTTCCGCATGCCAGCGGAAACCCTGTGAATGCACAAGAAATCCCCAGAATATATACTGAACAAAATGTTCATGAAAATGAAATTGTATCCTCCTGCTCGTATATATTTTGCCCACTAGATGGCAGCAGATACACTTTTAAACGTTTTCAACATGAGCCACTGAAAGACCCATTTCCTAACATCATGTCTATTTACATCTTATGTCCACTAGATGGCAGTTTTAAACACATCATAATTACTAGCAGCCATCCATAAAATCTTTCAGTCATGTATTTGATTGTGCATTTGTGGTGTTTTACCTTGTTCGTCACTGGATCATAGTCCACTGCTGTAATATTGCCTCCTGGTTTTTCCAGCAGTTTTATGCTCAGTTTGCCATCCGTGTTAATCTTCCTTAAATCCACTATATTGGCAAACAACAGGTCCGCTGGAGGTCCTGCTCAAAATAAAGAGATTCCAGACGTTCTAGGTCAATGCAAGCAAATGCACTTAAATACTGATTAACTACATGCTTAACCCAATAACTCGAGCTGCCCAAATGTGGGAGACAAACTGGCACCCTGGCAGAAGAGTCGTCACAACAAAAACAAAGACGCACCGGCTGGAAATCAGAATTGGCTGTTTTTGGTTTTTAAATTGGTTGATCTGTTTCTCGATTAGCACACTTACAGAACACTGCAATATTTTTATACTACAAAAAGATGCCAGAGATGCCTCACATATATGATATAGGACTTTTTATGCGAATTTTATGTATCACTTTATTTTGATGGTCACTTAAATGCACTTTGCATCTACATGCCAACTAACTCGCATTATGTTTTAAGAAGAATCTTGTGGTTAGGGTTAGTAAGTTGACATGTACTAGCAAAGTTTCACAATAATCAATATATCGACTTATCGCACAACACGTGTACATGTCCTAATAATTTTTGGTTATGTAATGTATATCGCCCATACATAAAAAAAAAAACAGATCTTACCACATTTTAGCAGATGGCGCAGCCTCTTTATCTCTATTTGAGGTGTCAGTTTCAGTATGGTAAAAAAAAACAAAAAAAAAACACTATACTATTTACTAAAAATTGCAATAGTATATTTTCATGTGGGTGCCTCATGACTTAAAATAGATTGTGTTACTTTTTTAGTTCTTTTACCTTGGACATTTATGTTAACATTAATTATAATTATTTATTTGTTTTTTTTGAATGTTCTCTTTATTTGAATGTTCTCACATTCTGAATCCAATGCTAAAGACAATTATTTTGTTTATCGCAATAAATATTGTTGCTATATATATATATATCGTACCACCAAAAATAATATCATGACAGGCCTAGTCAACAAAATGCGCAGTAAGGATCATGAATGTAAAGTCTTTCCAAATTTTTCAGAAGATGCCAAGATTGCCGCATTCATATATTTTTTCAACTATTAGATTTACAAGTATATGTTAAAATATATTAGTAATAATGTTATATATGTTCACATACAACCAAATATAAACATATTCTAGCAAAAATATTTAAAATTTCAATAGTCATTTTTGTAATATTGTGATATATATGTTGTAAATATGACATTTTATAGATGTAAAAAATCAAAATATGCACTCATATGTCATGTGTATATATATATATATATATATATATGTATATATATATATATATATGGCTGATTCCAGCGTTATGGACGTGACATTTGCAGTAAAAAAATGAAACGTATATTCTCAGAGAAGGTATATGTTAACAGTATATTGAAATATATGTTTATATTTTTCTTACCCCTTAACCATGGAGTTCAGGCATCAAAAAAATATCAGTCTATGCAGGTGTTTTATATTTAAAATGACGGCAAAATGAATGCGTTACGGACGTGACAAAAAAAAGACATGAGTTTTGTGAGTTGACATACTTTGTGAAAATTCTGTGAATGAAAATGCAGAAGCCAAAAATATATATAACAGTCAAAAGGATAAGGGTTGGCTCTGCATGGGACATATATAATTAATTTTATTTAGTTTTTCATTTTTGCATTAATGAGGAAAAACTATCGTTACGGACGTGACTTGTCTTCGTTACGGACGTGACTGCTCTGAAATTGACAGTTGACATATTATGAAAATCAGATAAATGCTTTCAAAACTTGACCAAAGACCTATTTGTGGATATCTGTTGGGTGTGTAAACCAATAAACTTTAACCTCTGAGACATCTGAATGGTAAGGTTGCACAATTAATCAAACTTAAATAGATATCACCTTGTTATTTAATTCGTATTATGGCATGTGTGTTGTTAAAGGTTAACGCACGTTCGAATGTTCAAAACTCAATTCGGTAACAATGTTGCATGCTAACATGGTGCTTTTATACTCTGACTAATATAGAATTTATAATAAACATAATCAGCTATAATGGGCCTATGTTTAGCAGGCTCCTAAAGTTAGTGTTTCCAGACAAACTTGAATTAAATCATTGCCCGACTGTTGCGCAAGACCGTGTCTACGTGGAGAATATTTAAAATCTAGTTTTGTCACAGATATGGCAATATTATATTTGACAAAGTTTATTTTAGTTTATTCTAGTTAACGTGTTAGTTGATGGAATAAATAATTTAATTTCTCCACTCGCGCTTGCTTTCTTTTTCTCGTCGGCAGTCACTTCAGGACAGGTTGCAAAAAGTTCATACGCACCAGGGTGAGAGAGAAAACTTTAAAACTTAAGAAAGGTTTTGTGTAGGCTATGTTAAACAAGCATAGAAAAATAGTCATTGGTTGTAGGCATGTACGATGGATGACTATAATGTTTATATTTTTAGGCTATAGTTAACCGATTGTGTAATATTGAATTAAATATTTACAGCTGCAGGTCCTATCGATTTTCTAACAAATTTAATACTCATATAATGTAGTTAAAGCTTAGATCAATATCAAGATTTTATTCTTATTTTATTCTTATTCTTATTAAAATAATTTTAATAAGCACTCAAGCGCATTTGCCGGGTGCTGGAAATCTTTGAAAATGTTTCAATTTTAATGTAGGCTATAGCCAATTTTCAAGCTTTGAAAGTGCTATTTTGGATAAAGGGCTTGGAAAATGAATTGTGTCACTTTGATAATTTATCTTTATAAATAGTTATTTAATTAATGAAATAAAAAACATTTATGCTCTGCATGAAACGAAAACTCCGCTGTGGCCTGACCCGCGGCGTGCGCATTTTGAGCAGTGGGAAAAGACCAAATGCATGGAGGTTATTGATTATGCGCCTTGCGCGCCTCGCGTTTTGTCATTGCGCGCTTTGTGCACTCCAGAAGAAAAGCATGTTACCTCAGTGGCGTCTTTCATTCTTCAATCAAACGAAAGCAGAGGCGGGGTTTCCTTGGAGGTGACAGAAGTGTCAAGATGACTACGGCGAACTTTTTAATGACGGAGAGACTTGTGGTCGCTGTTTTAAGTCATCCAAAGTTGTATGGCTTTACAAATCTTGAATTTCATAATGTTATTTAAAAATTTAAATTATGAAAACACTGACAGCAACACTCGCGCACAATAGACCAGCTGATTCAGTTGTTATCTATAGTGACATTCAAAAGAGCACCGTGCTCCTTTTCTTCTTGTCAACATAAAATGCATTGCAGAGCGCCTCATGTCTCTGGAATAAAGAAGCGCGTTCGTTGTGATCGGCTTTTATGAGCAACACATATTTGTTTACTCGCATGACAGTAACACGTGCAAGCACACGTGCTTACAGATGTTTTTTGCCAAAAAAGGAAAATGAAAGAAGGATATTCTGGCCACAGTTTGACACAGGAGTTGACGAACCAGCGCTGATCCTGGTCGTCTGTGCTGCCTGGAGCCGCGTCATAAACTCAACTAGGCATATTCATGATTCAGTGCAGACTACAATCAACAAACCACCCTTTTTTCCATTTGGAAAATAACAGCTATTAATGGTTCTTATATACATTTTAAATAGCCTAATCTACAAATCAAACAAAGAAAAATATTTTATAACTTCGCACCAAACTGATGCTTTCATTTTACAGCTTATAAAACATGTATGCAAATTAATGCAGTATCACATGTAAATTACAAAATTGTTATATGCTTAGCCTATACTTTACAAAATGTATAGGTTCAAAGCCTTATGGTTCATCATTATCTTTCACTATAGGCAGCGCGTGCGCACATGAACCGCAAGTAAGACGGAGGAAATATAGGTTAAGTCATTATGGCCAATGGCAATATGTAAAATGTTGTTTTCTTATTAAACATTTATTTCTGAAATGTTACTAAAGTGGTTTATAGTTAAATAAAAATGTTCAGTTCTTGATATAACATATGGATGTTATGTAATGTAAGTCAGTAATTGTAATGCAGCATCATAATGAACAAATATGCGCTAGTCATTGGCTTATATTAATAAGGAGTTCAAAAATGGTCACGTCCGTAACGCAAAATTGTGGTTGTTTAGAGCAAAGACCTGAGATGAGTTGGCGATTATAATTAGTATGGACATATTTTGGCTTTGTATACAAAGTTTCATTTTATTTGTTATAATATTTATTCCACAATATAAACTTTTTCATTAAATAGTTACGGACGTGACACGTGACCGAAGCTGCGTGATGTCTTAAATATGTAGCTCATAAATCAAAAGGGCAATAATGTTATGAAAAAGTAAGGATAATTATTTATACTACAGACTCCAATCCTTCTGCAGAATGATTACTGTTAACATAAAGCATGGAAAAGGTGAGTCTTTAACCCCTTTTTTGAAAGCACGAAAAGTGGTTGGATGATAATGAAAATTACCATTGGCACAATCCTCATATTTCATGGATAAACAAAACAATTTCCTTAAAAATTCAACAAGAGCACATCATAACAATAAAATATAGACCTTAATAAGCAAATTGAAATAGGTTTTGTTATTTTGGTCAAAAGTTTATTTTTTCATGATAAGGTTGACATTTTCATGGAATTGCTCATATATATATATATATATATATATATATATATATATATATATATATATATATATATATATATATATTTATATATGTACATGTGTATATATATGACATATGAGTGCATATTTTGATTTTTTGAATTTACATATATTTCTATGAATCAGATTTCTACAAGACGTTGAAGACTGAAAGTGGCAGCAGATTTGAAAGATGTAACAAATATTAGCCATTGCTTATTTCATATTTCAGCACTTCTGTGTTTGGGCAGTTTTATTGAATTAATTATTTAAAATGTCTAAACTTACTTTACATGGTCTCTATTTGATTTAATTGTTCATTTGCTAATTTTATCTTCTTTATTCTTTATCGTTTATATCGTGTGGATTATTCAGTTGTATTGTAGCATCAATAATTATCAGCTATGATGGTCAGAACAGCTCAAACTGTTCCCAATGCATAAAATACTGGAGGAAATCCTAAACTTTTTTGAGGTTTTAAAAAGGTATCTATAAAAATCTCTTCAGAAAGTATTTATTGTATTCTTTTGGGATTCTCCATTTAACGCATGTTAAAAACCAGCACAGCTCAATACGATTGACAAGCATTAACCAAGGAAACACCAATATTCCTGCTGTTTTGTTTGTAGCGAGTAAATCAGCATTATTATTTAGCCTGTCTACTGTTTTTGTTTTGGTGGGAGCAAATTTGCATTATTATCAAGCATGTCTACTCTTTTTGCTCTGTGCAGGCATGTTTTACAGCATTTGGCATAATAGTGCAGCATGATGTTAAAAAAAATCTAGAATTGCGATATTTAGTTTTTCTGCAATATATTTATTATGATACAATTTCACTAGATGTCTTTAATAGTTCTGTTTTGAGTTAATTCAACAGATTGATTATGCATGGCATGTAAAAAATTAAAAGTAGCATGTAAGCAAGCAAAAAAGTAAGTCATGGTTAGGATGAAAAGCATAGATAAATACAATAGGGCAAAAATGAAAGTGAAAAACAGAGCTTTTCTGGGGAGTCTAACAGTATTCAAATACAACATTAATAATTAAATGGAAAATAATCATATAAGGTTTTTATTGTATAAATAATTCAGTAAAATAAATCTTCATTTAAAGGTATAAACTGTACAATTTCTTATACTTGAATGCTTTAGACTTTCTTGTGCCTGAATGTTTACAGTCACAGGCCTTAAAAACACAGAGAGATAATACACTTTCACTCTTTTTTGGTTAAACTCCACAAATCTCATGTGTTCTGAACTGTGGTTCTTGCTCAACTATAATTCCAACATATTAAATCAACATTGCACACGCTTGCAATGTGACTATTGCAGATGTTCACATTGCGATATCAATGCTGAAACGATATATTGTGCAGCCCTATGGCATAATTTCACAAAGGTAAAGTTAGATCATCAAGACTTTGCATTACTTTGAAAGTGTACTATCTAATTTAAGCTCAAAACTAATGTATGTACTCACTGCTGAAAGTTCAGCCACACATAAAGTTTTGTTTTGTTTTGTTCATATACTCATTTTTTAGCTATATAAAATTTTTTAAACGGTATTCAACAATTTGCTTGTAAAAAATCTGCAATCGGACACGGTCATAAAAAAATCAAGATCTCTGATAGTAAGTTTGTAGGACTAGGACTCACCAGTGGCAGCGCAGTGTTTTCCATCAGGCTGTATTTGGTATCCAGGATGGCATTCACAAACCCACCGGCCTGGATATAAAGTCACACACATCTGACTGCAGCCGCCACGATCTGCAGAAAAACAGCCTGAAACACACAGATGATGTTAAGGAAACTGTCATGTCACAGTACAGTATGTGGATTGCAGCATATTTTATAAAGAAGAAAAAAACACACCTGTACAAGATTGGCCATCAGGATTGAGTAGGGATCCTTCAGGACACACACACATATCTCCTTGTGCTGTGTGAACACATGCATGATCACAATCCACAGCTTTCCCCACACAAGGCTTGTTCTCTGTAGACACATGCAGATAAAAGTTAAGACAGGCCATTTGTTCAGACACAAACAAACTCACCAAAATGTATTATGTTGTAGTTTATTTCCTTTTTTTGATACCCCCTAAAGCATTTTTGCTGTATTTTATAATTTAAAAGTTTAAACAAAACAATATTTACTAAAAGTTATATTGAATCCAAAAATAGAAATTATGTTATTATTTACTATTATTAAATTATTTACATTATTTACTATTATTTTCATTCTTCTGTTAAACCCAAAATAAGTTAATTAGAAAAATGTTGAAAACCTGTAACCACTGACTTACATTTATTTAAATTAAATTAAATTAAACTAAACTAAACTAAACTAAACTAAACTAAATTAAATTAAATTAAATTAAATTAAATTAAATTAAATTAAATTAAATTAAATTAAATTAAATAATAAAATATAATAAATTAAATAGATTAAATAATAAATTGAAATAAAATTAATTAAAATACATTAAATAATAAATTAAAATAAAATAAATAATAATATAAAATAAAATAAATTTAGATAATAAAATAAAATAAATAAAAAATAAAATTAATTAAAATACATGAAAAAAATATTATTTACTTTAATTTAATTTAATTACAATAAAGTATATAGAATTTATACTCCATAACTATTATGTTGTGAAAATGTCAAAAATTAATACAACAATGAGGAAATTAAAGATGGTTAAGAGAGGATTTACTTAACATTTAATATTTAGTATTTCATGCTTTATTAAATTTCATCAGTTGTAGTATGAATCAATTTGGGCTTGACTGTATTTATTTTCTTGCAATATAAAATATTGTATGCTTGTGAATGAGTAGCACTGTATGAAAGTCTTTAACAGTATCTCAATGACAATTTAACAACATGTCTGTTTTTGCTGACGACGTTCAGGGTCAGTATCCTCCTTAAACCAAGCATTAACAGGATGGTATGGTCATTTCAGGAGATTGTGAAATGCTGGCTGAACAGCCTGATGCCGGATGACCAGATAACGCAAACAGGTCTAAAGTCTCAAGCCAACGGCCTCAATCTTTCATTTCCAAACGCCCTGTCCTCACATGATCAATAGTCACCTCAGTTTTTCCATGAACACCTCTTTGTCGTGGCCATGTGCCTGTTAGACAGTCCTTATTCTGACACCCAATAATCCCAAATCCAATCATCCTATATTTACAAAACACTAGCACTGAAATCAATTAAGACTGTCTACAACAGGTTTACTCAGATGGATAACAACAATGATAGTGCTTTGATTCGCATCAAATTAATTACACTACATAAAGAAGATATGAATATAGACCTAAATCCAGACACCTCCAAAAAAATAAGTGTTTTTATGCTGAAATGTGAACCCTTCCATCACCAGTGCTGATGATTGAGTTTGAGGTAGCCATATGGTGGTACTCAACCTTCTTAACGGGACACTCTCTACAATCCCGTTATGATGTCAGGACCATAATCCCACCAGCAGAGGTGAAAGTGCACAAGGGGTCCTGGAGTGAAGCATTAGTTAGGATTACATCACATTTCGCTCTCGAAACCATCTTAAAAGAATTATTTTTGTTGTGTACATTTACATTGTACATTTAGATTTTTGTGCATTATTTGCATTATTATTAGAAACATAAGAAATAAATGTAATGAAACTTAGAGAATTAGACCTTCTTCAACATTCCCATGTTACCTATGAAAAGGCTATACACTGATTTTATGGGAAGGACTAATGGAGTATGTTTTTGCCAGGAACATCAAATGTGTCTGACATTTACACACACTCTTAAAAACTTCTCTTCAATTATATAAGACCCAAGAAACAAATTAGTTTAGGATAATGCAGAAACACCATTGTGTACTGTAATGTGAAAGTAGGGTTGTCACATTACCAAAATTTCAGTGTTCTGTACAGTCAAAGTGTCATACAAAAGTGTTCAGTTATTGAACTATATCCTCATATAGCCAGATCTGTTGAGTCTTAAATAAAATATTTTAGAATAAAACTCCTATAAGTGTAATTTTAATAACCTCATCTGTTGAAATGATGCTCGTAAATTACAGAGCTTGTGCAAATATGTCCAAATCACTGTGATTAGATGCTTTCTTAACTGCCGTTTTTTCATTGCTGTCATTTAATTATGTTATTGAGAGGAAAGAATGCAGTACATACAGTTGAAGTCAGAATTATTAGCCCCCTTTGATTTTTTTTAATTGTTTAAATATTTCCCAAATTATGTTTAACAGGGCAAAGACATTTTTTACAGTACTGTATGTCTGATAATATTTTTTCTTCTGGAGAAGGTCTTGTTTTATTTCGGCTAGAACAAAAGCAGTTATTATTTTTTTAACACTATTTTAAAGACAAAATTATTAGCCCCTTTAAGCTATTTTTTTTTTGATAGTCTACAAAACAAACCATCGTTATACAATAACTTGCCTAATTACCCCAACCTGCCTAGTTAACCGAATTAACCTAGTTGAGCCTTTAAATGTCACTTTATCTGTATAGAAGTGTCATGAAAAATATCTAGTCAAATATTATTTAATGTCATCATGGCAAAGATCAAATAAATCAGTTATTAGAAATAAGTTTTTAAAACTATTATGTTTAGAAATGTGTTGTAGAAACCTTCTCTCTGTTAAACAGATATTGGGGAAAAATAAATAGGGGCTCTAATAATTCAGGGAGGCTAATAATACTGACTTCACCTGTATTTATATGTTCATCTGAAAGACACTGAGCAATGTTGGTGGCATTTGCTTTGCTTTTGAACAAAGATAACTGCTGTAGGTATAGCTGGGCTGTGAATCACATTCAGTGTCTTGGATGGTATATGTGCATATGTGCATGCATGAACAATAAGTGCTGGGTTAAGTTTATGTAATACACACTGGTGACACTAATTACAAAGCAACCCATGATTTCTGCAATGTAGAAAATAAAGATTGTAAAATCTAATTAGTTAATTAGGTAGTTCTTAAAAAGGTACACCCAAAGTAAAGATAAAAACGTTTTAGTTTCAACAACTATTTGCTAATTTTAAGCTACAGTGTTTCCTTCGGGATTTTTTCAAGCTGTGATGTGCCTTTTACACAGATTTTCCAACTAGCTATGGCGTTATTTCAATGACAAATGTCTTGAGCGCAGTGTTACAAGTCAGGAATGCATTCATGTAATATGCAAATCTCTGTGCTTGCACACCAATTTCCTCTTTCTGTGGACAAAACTTCTTGCATGCTCAAGCGCAGATTTTCTTGTGCGCTCGCAAATAAACACTGCTGAAGTGCGATTTAGTACATTTATGTAATGAATATGTCTCCAACATTTATTAGATTTGCTAGGAAAATTCATGAATGTCTCCGATAAACCTGCAGAACGACATTGATGCATTCATTCATTCATTTTCTTTTCGGCTTATTCCCTTTATTAATCCACCAACTTATCCAGCAGGTTTTTACACAGCGGATGCCATTCCAGCCGCAACCCATCTCTGGGAAACATCCATCCACACACACTCATTCACTACGGACAATTTATCCTACCCAATTCCTCTACCGCATCTCTTTGAACCGTGGGGGAAACCAAAGCATCCGGAGGAAATTCATGCGAACGCAGGGAGAACATGCAAACTCCACACAGAAACGCCAACTGACACGAGGTTTGAACCAGCGACCTTCTTGCTGTGAGGCGACAGCACTACCTACTGCGCCACTGCCTCGCCCTGACATTGATGCATCCTGTAGGACAGCACTACCTACTCATTCATTCATTCATTTTCTTGTCGGCTTAGTCCCTTTGTTAATCCGGAGTCGCCACAGCAGAATGAACCGCCAACTTATACAGCAAGTTTTTACTTTTTTTTTTTTTTTACAGTTTTTACCCTTCCAGCCGCAACCCATCTCTGGGAAACATCTACACACATATTCACACACACATTCATACACTACGGACAATTTAGCCTACCCAATTCACCTGTACCGCATGTCTTTGTGGGGGAAAACCGGAGTACCCGGAGGAAACCTGCGCTATAAGTGAATTGATTGAACTAAATATGTATGAGTGTGTGTGTGTGTGTGAATGCGAGCATGTGTGGCTGTTTCCCAGTACTGGGTTGTGGGTGGAGCGCATCCACTGCCTAAAACATATGCTGGAATAGTTGGAAGTTCATTTTGCTGTGTCGACCTCTGATAAATCAGAGATTAATCTAAATGAAAATGAACAAGTAAAGCATTCATTGTATCACATATTACTGCAATATGCACTTCTTGTAGTAACAATAATGTATTTTTAAGAGCGTTCTTCGATGTTTTACTGGTAAAAATTAGTTTTTTGATAAATTATGGAATCTGGAAATAAATTGAAAAATAAATAGACTTAAATTAATTGTCCATGTACTGTGTTTATTTATCCATTATTCATTAATATCAAAAAATAAATACAAAGTTATTGCTTAATTTATTTTATCATTATCTGTCTTCCTTTTTTAGTTATTTCCCCATCACGAATCATTTTGACAGTCAGAAAACATGACGACAAGCTTGATTGCGTGTGTATGTGTAAGTGTCTGCAGGTGTGAGAACTGTAGTGAGGGTTAATCTCGCTGTTGCTTTGCTCTTGACCTGCTTAGCCAGGCAAAGCTGCTGACTAAATATGTTCCTTATTACTGATGTCACCTCATTATCCTATCGCGCTGCGCAGTCTGCCTCTGCCTCACTGCAAAATTACACCACAAACAATGGAGCCTGTCTCTTGCTAGCATTTTTCCTCAAAGGAAACATTTAAGCCCTTTTTCATAAGATTTTAAATAAATCTCTGAGGTCTCCGATAAAGTTTCAGTTTAAAATATACCACTGGTCATTTATTACAGCTTGTCAAGTTTACCCCTATGTAGGAGTTTTTGTGTGTGGCCCTTTAAATGCAAATGAGCTGCTTTCCAAAAGAGGGCAGAGACTTTACACACTGCTCTGACACTCCAGAAAAAATGAACAAGGGAATCTCCCACCACAACATGGCAGGAATTACCAATATTATAGTGTAGCATCACATGTTCAAAACAATGATAAAGAAGAAGAGGTGACCACTTCTAGACTGCAGAAGGATTTTCAGATTTCTTGCTAACTAAAATGACTTCACAGCATTGTATCTCAAAATTGAAATCCTTTTAAATATAATTTAATTTAATTAATAAATTATATTTATATGCATTCTATTCTATACTAGTCTTATATACTATTATGTAAATATAGTTCCTTTGCATTCTCCAGTTTTCTATTCAAGTTTTTAGTGCAATTTGGTATGCTTTTTTTTGTCTACAACACATTGTGTTCTGCATCCAAATTAGCTCATTGTGTTCTGCGTCCTGATTAGCACATTTTGTTCTGCATCCTGACTGGCTGCAGACCATTGTCAATCAACCTCCTTCGTGCCGTGTCTCCTGTACAGTGCAAAATGCGTTCAGCTAGCCAAATTAACATAAATCTTTGATTGCTAGCAGTGTGACTCTGTAGTGCTGAACTGTATGTTTGCAAGTTTTCACCCCATGATGTTGACAAAATGCTCTGCACCATCAAAGACACCAGAAAAGGCAGAGAAAGATGCTACCCATCACACAAAAAGATAGACTTCTGCACAGGCTAAAGGTGGAAGTTATAGGGTGCCATTGCGGAATGAATAAATGAAGATCAAATGTTTTTGATCTTTGGTTTCATTCTGTAATACTGGGCTTATTTTTCTACGAATGTTTGAATTTTGAGATTGATTAAACAAGAGAGAAAAGTGTGTAAATGTTAATGGCTGTCTGAGAAACACTAAATATTACTAAATATTATAAAACATCTATAATAATTGTAAAAAATAAAGCTGACTACTTTGCGGATTTCACCTGTTGCAGGTTATTTTTAGAACGTAACTCCCACGAATAATATGGGACCACTGTATATTAGATTGGACCATTAAAAGCCTGTCTTAGACTAAAATGATATACTAAATGAAAATCAGAGCAAATTTCTTTCTGTCATGTTTAGTCTAGATTAACATTGAACAACGCTTTAAAAGTAAATACTAAGTTCCCTGTGTTGTTTGATGGAAATTATGCCACTTAGAGCGTGTGTGTGTGTGTGTGTGTGTGTGCGTGTGTGTGTGTGTGTGTGTGTGAGAGAGAGAGAGAGTACGCTTATGATAACATCTGTGTCATGAGTTAAACGTTTTGTGATTGATACAACACACACATAACCTACATACAGTAGTTCAAGCAGGCTTGGGTAAATGTGCATTGCGATAACGCCACATGAGCGAGCCACACACTGGATACAAGTGCAGCACCATGTCTAAAAGCAAGATTCATTTACTTTCGCCTTTCTCATATATTTTATCTGACTTCCATCTGGTTGAAGCAACATATTTTTCGATGCACTCTCTGTTTGCCTATGAGTGTGCACTCACTTGTGATCAGGAGGCCCTGATATACTTCAAATGAAATAAAAAAAAGAACTGAAATGTCATTTGAACTAAATCTGGCAAAAATAAAGTTTGTTTTAATTTTGTCTTTCAGATGAGACGTTAAAGTGTGGTCCTGACTCTCAGACTCTATTTTGACGGTCCATGCGCAGAGCGCAAAACGCAGGGCACAAACGCTTTCAGGGCGTGTCAGAGCGCATTTTTGCTAATTTGCGGACGGAAAATGCGCTTTGCACCAAGGCGCATGAGCTAAAAGTGTGGAGTTTATTTTCTTAATGAGTTATAGGTGTGTTTTGAGAATAAACCAATTAGAGTCTCATCTCCCATTCCCTTTAAGACCCAGCTGTGTCGTGCCAAGAGCGCATTCGCTATTTACAGGACGCAAAGTAAGTCTAAGTGGAAAAAATGAGCATTTCACAAGCAAACAGTTAACAGTTGAAAGTTTTTTAACAGAAAACTGTTAAACAGAGCATCTACTGCGTGAGAATGAGAGATAAATGATCTACTTTCACTTTCGCTCTTGGATAGGGAAACCTTTACGCACAGACATCAATTAGCCTATAGATAATTAATTTTGTTTGTTAAGCGCAAAGATTTGTTTCAAAACTATTTCTAAATTCAGTTCTAATTTCTAGAAAACGAATAAATGAACAATAATTACCAAGTGTGGTCAAAATACTGAGTTATTTCCAAATACACCTGCCATGCCCCATATGGTCTAAAACCTGACAGGTGGGCAAATCTAAGCTTGTTTTTAATAAAACAAATATAAATATGGATATATTAAATAATACTGCTAATAATAATAACATTATACAAAAGCAAATTGTTATAAATGAACGAGGCGCAACTCTGCGCCGGAGTTTAGACCGGGTTAGTTTTGGTCTAATGAAAAATCTATTGTAGTTTCTCAAAACAGCAACGCGCCAGCGTCCGCCTCAGAACGCCTTCCTTTTTAGACCAGAACGCCTATGGGCGCACAAATGAACGCTAATGCATTTACTATTTAAACAGCGTAGCGCAACGCCTCAAAACGACTCTTGCACCAAGCTGAAACTACCAAGAGACTATTGCGCTGCGTCTTGCGCCACACTGCGCCGGGTGTATGATAGGGTCCTCTGTGGTCATTAAAAATCTCATGGCAATTCTCATGAAGAGTAGGGGTCTAACCTTGGTGTCCTGACCAATTTCCCTCACTTGGCCCCTACTGATCATGGCCTCCCAATCTTCCCCTACAAAATTGGCTCTATCTCTGTCTCTCTACTTCACCAAATAGCTGGTGTGTGGTGAGCACATGTCGTTGTCCTGTATTCTGTGTGGAGAAACCCCCCTCATGATTGTGAAGCGCTTTGGGTGTCTGGCCATACATGATAAATGCGCTATATAAATACACATTACATTACATTTAGTTTCAGAAGTTCGAAACAGCTCACTAAAGCAAACTTTGTGGGAAAGTTCATTTTGGTCCTAAACACCTTTGAGCTGCCTTTGGTCCGTGGTGATTACACAATAGGTAGGCGTGTCCTGGGAAGCTGCCTTCTTTAATGTGCATTGTATTGACACAGTTAAGAGTCAGACAAAAAAAAAACATTCAACACAGTAACACTCAACATGAATATACTGGAGGGTCGAGTAGCAGAGCTGTATCCACACCTGTACTATCACACGCTGAGCGATTTTAAAGCATCACACACCAGCTGAGAAGTACAACCACATAGTTTGATAAAGTTCTCAACTTGATTCCACTCAGAGGCCATGACGAATAGCGTGCCACAGTGGTGCTTCTCATTGGAGAAGGCTGTTTGCCTCATATGAAACTGTTATTGTTTCACAGCTGCCATTGTTGTCGTGTTTTGGAGTCCACTCAAGCAATGTGGTGCATTTATAATCCCGCATACTGCCACTTTGTGGTGTTGGAAGGTTGGAAAACAGTATACTATTGCTTCACTTTTTCAAAGTTCTTTTTGGCCTCAAAATAAATAAATAAATAAATAAATAAATAAATAAACAAAATAAAAAAAAAATAATAATAATAATTTTTAACAGGGTATATGCAGGAATCCTAAAGGTAATTTCAATGCCCTTTTAAGACTTTTTAAAGACATTCTTAGAATATTTTAAGACCTCATCACCACTTTTAGTTTGAATCATTATCAAACCTCTACCATAATAAACAGTTGTTAATATTGCGTAGTTGTTTTCAACAACAGGCTTCAGCCATTGTTTAAAGTCATCTTTCGCCAACCAGGAGTACGCAAACTTACATTATCCCATTTTGCTGTCTGTTTCGCTCTATAGTTTCACTACATGTGGAGAGCGTCACATCACCTTTCCTGCGTTTGTTACAAATTACGTAACATCTCCCGGACGGAGGAGATTAGCCAAACATATATACCTTTTATATAATACCTTTATACCTATATAATAGCTTTTAATATCTTTTAGGGCATAAAGGGTCTTACCAAAACAAAGGAACTGGGTTGTCCTTTTTTTCTGGGTTGATAGATGAAAGGACCTAATTACAGCACTTAAAGAAGAAAAAGTTGTATATGATATGTCCCCCTTTATAATGATTTATCTCTCTCGCTGACCCATAACTTCTGTTTGTATGCTGAAGCACTAGTGTTTCATAATTCATTCCATTTTCTTCAGTCCTACCTTGGCAGGTCTTTAAATCGGGCAGTAACAGGTAACCCTCAGGACAGGTGCAGAAGTAAGAGCCCGGAACGTTCTCGCATCCCAGAGAGCAGCCGTGATTCCATAGGGAACATTCATTGACATCTAAAATCCAACCAGAGGTTTGAACAAATGAATATGAAAGCTATAAATTTCTACACTCTGATTTATAAGAGAAACCGAGGCTGTACCTTCACAGATGTTTCCATGTTTACTGAGGGTAAATCCATCCTTGCAGCCGCAGAGACCAGTGTCAGTGTGACTGGAGCACACTTTCACACACTCTCCTGTGTGTCGACTGCAGCCTGAACAAAAGCAAATAGCATCTCATCCAATGCACAATCCTGTGATGCGCTATAATCTTGATCTAATTTATGATTTGTTTAGATATTTTGAGTGTAAATACTCATTTTATTGGAGCAATTAATCATGTTTTTTATTACAATACATTAGGGAGCTACAATGTATTGTTCTAAATTATTATCATTGTAGATAAATAATAGTAATAATAATTAAAATGATCATTATTTCCTTTTTAATGATATATTTTGTATTTAAAATTATTACAATCATTCATTTGTTCATTTTCTTTTCAGCTTAGTCCTTTTATTAATCTGGGGTCACCACAACAGAATGAACCACCAACTTATCCAGCATACTGTATGTTTTACGCAGCGGATGCCCTTTCAGCTGCTACCCATCCCTGGGAAATATTATTATTATTATTATTATTATAAATATTATTATTATTATAAAAGCTAAATAATAATAATTAAAATATATATTTTATATAATTTATATATATAAATAGTAATTACAATATGGATTTTTTAATATTTTGTTTACATATTGTGGATGTAAATACTTAATTGCAGTTTTTGTATGTTATACACATTTATGTTTTGATTGTTTGTTTATTTATTGCCACATCAGAAACTTATGGCTTTATCACTTATTGGCTATGAACTATACACTTGTTTTATAATTATTATTTTTTTCTGGATATAAATAATTAATAAATAATTCAGATAAATATTGCATTATATTTTGTTTAGATTTTTTGACTGTAATTATTCCACAATAATTTATTGACTGCTTTAAGATAATTTTAATAACTTAATTGCATTCAATATAAAAAAGTTAATATATACACAAATAAATGAAAATAATAAATATTTTTTTTAATACTATATTAGCAGATAGTGAAGGTTAATTAATTATAGTCAATGAAGATTTATATTGCTGTAATTTAATGCTTACTGTAAGTAAATTATTAAATGACTGCCACAGATTGGTTATACATAGTAGAGGGGTGAAATAATAGGAGCAACATAAATAACTGTGACAAATAATTAAAAATGACTTATTCAAATGTTTTGTTTAGATGATCTGAATTGAAATACTTAATACAGCATATATTATCAAGACAATTATGTATAATCATATAACTAACCGGGTGTAAAAGGAGTTTCCACCACCGGTTGATTGATGGGATGCACCACTTTAACATCAGCAGGGGAATGTGGCATCCTTTGAGAACTGACATTCTCTTGTCGACCCCCTGTGTACTTGTTCAATCGAGTTATTGTTTTTGACTTTGAGTCTGACAGATACACATAATCCAAGAAAATCGTCATTCTCAGAGATTGAGGTCTAGAAGTAAAACACAGAGGACGTTTAAACCACAAAACACTTCTGTCTTTACAATTATAGCATAATGGCAACAATAATAGATACTACAAATATAAAATAGGCACAAAATATTGCTTAATATTGCTGCTTAAAATTAATTATATCCGTAGATAGGATTGGATATTTAATTATTATTTTATTTTATTTATTTTTAATTTTTTTTAAATTTTAAGATAACCTTTATTTAACAATCAAATAAAAAATTACATGCATGACCGTAATACTTGAGTCTGATTGGTCAATCATCACATTCTATATTCTAAACATTTTTGCATAATTTTAATTGCATACATTTTTGCATATATTTGAATTTCATACACATTTTTGCATAATTTTAATTGCATAAACATTTTTGCATAATTTTAATTGCATAAACATTTTTGCATATATTTTAATTGCGTAAACATTTCTGCATAATTTTTAATTGTATAAACATTTTTTCATTTATTTTAATTGCGTACACATTTTTGCATAATTTTCTTGATGTTAACTTCACTCGTTGTTTTTATAACAAAATAATGTTAGCCTTAAATGAATTATAGATCTCAGTTATACCTGAATTGCTGATTAAAGACATTGATAATGTTTCCATCATAGTTGCAGGAGCCCATAGCAGTGTGTCCTCTTTGGCCTTGCTGAACCCAGAAAAGTCTCCTGTCCCGGTGGTCAACAGCCAGAACCTTCAGTCTGTCCGCTACTTTCAGCACTGTGCTCATCATTTTACCTGTCATGTCTGATCGCTGGATGCTGGAAGTCGCTCCATCTGACAACCAGAAAATATATCTGGAAAAAAGTTGTGACAGCAATTTTATTCATTTCTGTTACCCTAAAAAAACTCGACAAGATTTTGAAGCATTCATTTCGAGAAAATATTTTCACGCCCAACAATAGTATCAAAACAAATGTAAAAAGAATTTTAATTATACTATTTTAAATATAGATATAAACATTATGGTGTATTAAATATTATAAATGTTAAACATAAACATAAATACACATATGTTGTGTGTATTTGTGTGTGTGTGTGTGTGTGTGTGTGTGTGTGTGTGTGTGTGTGTGTGTGTGTGTGTGTGTGTGTGTGTGTGTGGTGAATGTATGTGTAAATATCCAGTTAATAGAAATGCATTTATTTAAAATAGAAAGCTTTTTAATATGATAAATATCTGTACTGTCATTTACTGTACATTCTATTTCATTTAAATATTTTTATTTCAATATTCCTTGCTGAATAAGTAAATAAGTAAAACGAGCCCATTAAAACTGACCAAAAAAGTTTAATTTGCATAAAGATGTTTGCTTTCTACACTGACTAAAAAAATGAATTGTATTTACTACATTTTTTTAAGGTAACGGTTTATATTGGCTGAATTTAAACAGACAAATAAAATTAGTAATGTTCAACTTAACTTGCTTTTTTAAATTTAGCCGATTTTTTTTTAGTCACTGAATCTGTTTTTTCACACTGTACATTACAATTTTGTAATGAATTTAATTAAGGTAACATTGCAAAAATGTTTGCTCTGTTTATTTGTTTCAACATATTTATTTATAAATATGTATTATATATATTTATTGTTGTATTTACAATTATAAGATATTAGTTAAATGGTTAATTTTACAATATAAATATTTTAATATTTACTGAAACTAATTTCTATCCACATTCCTCAAGGAATATATCCTAACATAGATATATTTATACTAACACTAAACTGGCTGCTGTTTAAACTCAAGTTTGATTTTCTCTTCACAGACCAGTCCTCAGAAAGATAAGTCTGACCAGTGTTCATCTATATCGTGCTGTTTGAGACACTCGGTCAGATCTACACTTATGTGCCAGCCATGTTCGAAGAATGTGTCCATCTGAAAGCTCCAGCATTTATAGCTAGAGAGCAAACTAGGAGTGGAGCAACACAGTCATGAGAAGAACTGTGAAAATGACAAAGCCTTTAGTCATCCTGATTCTCCCCTACACTTAACAAACTGAGAGAACAGAGTAAAAAATGTCAAACATGTTGTTGCGGGTTACACGTCTGACCTACTGCACCACAGGCCATGTCTCAATGTAATGACAACTCTTTTTTTTTATTGCCAGCATTGAAGTCCATGTACTTTCATGTAGACGTTTTCATAATAACTTTTGTCTACATTTCTTATATTTTATAAATTACTTAAAAATATTTATATTTTAATCAAAACCACACATAGAAAATCCAGCGAATTTTGAAGTGGTCTTCTAATATTACCATTAGTATTATTATTTTAATTTTAATGAGGGCTTGAAATTTTCCTTTTTCTCAAAGATATTAATTACACTTACCTTTCATTTGGATCAACAACAACACCTCTAGGCTGAGACAGATTTCTCAAGACAACTCTGTCGTTCCTGCCATCAGTGTCCATTCTCTGTATTGTTCCTTCATCTGCATTGCTCCAGAGGACTGAGTTTTCAATCCAGTCCACAACCAGACCCGTGATTCCCTTCACTGAGGAGAGAAGCTTCTGAAGGAAAGGAAGAAAAGAGGTTCCAAACTTTAAATAAAGCTCTTTTTAAACACAATTATCTACTATATTATTTTGGACCTATTATACATTTGTTCTCCCATATGACAAAAATATTTAAAAGAAAGGGTGTGGTGTTAACATAAGGCATAAATGAAGCAAACGAAACATTAGCAGGGGACATCATACTTCATTAAATGACAAAAATATTGAAAACGTTTTTTTATGAAAAGCACTAACGTTACACACCACCTACATACACGCATACATAAGTTACATACAAACACACAGGTAACATATGTAACGTTAAATATGTAACGTTACCTGTCTCCGTGTTCCATCTAGTCCTGCTCTTCTGATTTGTCCTGTTTGTGTGTCCGCCCAAAACATCGTCCACTCACTTAAGTGAAAGTCCAACAAAATGGACCTTCCCGCCCTGGAAACGATTCTTCTCCGGTCCCCTCCATCGAGGTTCATTCTCTGGATGCTATTTCCGAGGCCGACTATTAGATATGGCTCAGGTTCTTAAAAATAATAATAATAATCTTTGATAAACTGTCAAAATGACAAAAAACTCAATTAAAATCACACTGATTCTAAAACAACTTAAATTAAACTGCACTGCAACAAATCCTGAAAATATAGCTGACTAATTATTAGACCATAAAACACGGTAAATTATTCGAGCTTACAGACAGTATTTCATCTTTCCTGGAGTAAAATTTAAAATTTCTGTCAGCCAGTTACAAAGTGCTTTAAATTGTGGGGCGTGGTTGTCAAGGCTTGATTGGTTGGATGGTAGAAATGTTGTTTCATAATAAAAGGAGTATATATATATATATATATATTATTATTATTATTATTATTATTATTATTATTATTATTATTATTATTATTATTAGCCCCCCTTTGAATTTTTTTCTTTTTAAAATATTTTCCAAATGATGTTTAACATGGCAAGGAAATTTCACAGCATGTCTGATAATATTTTTTTCTTCAGGAGAAAGTCTTAGTTGTTTTATTTTGGCTAGAATAAAAGTAGTTTTTAATTTTTTTGAAACCCATTTTAAGCTCAAAATTTTTAGCCCCTTTAAGCTATTTTTTTTTCTATAATCTACAGAACAAACCATCGATATACAATAACTTGCTTAATTACTCTAACCTGCCTAGTTAACCTAATTAACCTAGTTAAGCCTTTAAATGTCACTTTAAGCTGTATAGAAGTGTGTTGTAAAATATCTGGTAAAATATTATGAACTATCATGGCAAAGATAAAATAAATCATTTATTAGAAATGAGTTATTAAAACTATCATGTTTAGAAATGTGTTGAAAAATCATCTCTCCGTTAAACAGAAATTGGGAAAACAATAAACTGGGGCAAATAATTCGGGGGGGTTAATAATTCTGACTTCAATTCTACTTCTTCTCTACTAGCCAATCACTATAGACAAGGAAAAAAGCAGTGCTGCAGGTTGCTACAGCACTAAAAATGTACTCAAGTGAAAGTAAAAGTATACATTTTTAAAACTACTACAGAATTATTAGAGCTCCTGTTTATTTTTCTCCAATTTCTGTTTAACAGAGAGATTTTTTCAACACATTTCTAAACATAATAGTTTTCATAACTCATTTCTAATAACTGATTTGTTTTATCTTTGCCATGATAAAAGTAAATAATATTTGACTAGATATTTTTTAAGACAATTCAGCTTAAAGTGATATTTAAAGGCTTAACTGGGTTAATTAGGTTAAGACAGGTTAGGGTAATTAGACAAGTTATTGTATAATGATAGTTTGTTCTGCAGACTATTAAAGTAAAAAAAAATTGCTTAAAGGGGCTAATAATTTTGACCTTAAAACAGTGTGTAAAATATTAATAACGACTTTTATTCCAGCCAAAATAAAACAAATAAGACTTTTTCCAGAAGAACAAATATTATTAGACATACTGTAAAATGTCCTTGCTCTGTTAAATATAATTTGGGAAATATTTAAAATAACTAAATAAATAAATAAACGGGGGCTAATAATTTTGTGTGTGTATATATACTATTGTTGTTGCTCTTTAATATAATAATTATGTAATAGTACATATAATTATCATATTACCATACAAATGATATATTTTTATATTTTCTGTAGAGAGTGAGAGAAATATTATTCATTTATTTTTCTTTTTTTAACATTTTGCTTAGTGTTTTTGTTATATTGAACAGATTAATCATAACTGGGATACTTTTATTTTCAGATGTTCATCTGCAATTTTAAAGTTGAAGAGTTTAGATGCAAAAACCTCTAAAAGCCACTTGATATTCTTTCTAAAAATTTGCATTTTTCTCTGACTCCTGTGTGGAGGCTCAGTAATTTTACTTTTATATTTACAAATAAGTTTTTTTTTATTGCCTTTCGAGTGAAATACTTGAACATAACCATATGAGGCTGAGAAAAATGCTCATTTTAGTAGAACATTTCAAATGACATTTAGAGGTTTTTGCCTCTGAACACTTTATATTAAAAAAAAAGGTTTGATGTTCATAAACATTGTGTGTATGTGCGTTTGTGTTAATGCAATAAACAGATTTCAGCAGAAATATTATTCTCATTAAATTTCCATTCTGAAGTATTTAATATTTAACTGATTCTCACACTTTTTTGCTCTCTTTTTTCATATAAGAGAAGAAGTGCAATACATTGTTTTGAGGAAAAAAGCTTTACGCTGATTTTATTGCATGTCAGAGGCTGTATTCACTAAATAAAATCAAATAGCATTAACATGAAACCTCCATGAAACCTGATGGTGTGACCCTAAACCAATGCTGTTTGATAAACGAGGCCTGTCAGCTAACAAATGCATTCTTCCATGCTCGTAAAATTGCTAATTATTTTCCTTTTCTGCCCTACCCGTGTTATCAGCTATAACGTCACTTGGAACGTGAATTGGTGTGGCTTTGTGATGGGTCTTTTCATGCTTTAATGGGGAGAGACTCACACATCCATCTCACAGATGCCTGGAGAACTAAAGCAACTGTATCCTAGCAACCTACACACACCATTACAGAGCATTGCACAAACACACAGACATGTTGCTTGGATGAGATGAGAAAAATAATGAAAAATACAGAGATGAACAATCCGACACTAATTAACAACAGATTGTATGAGTATGTTACAGTAACATATGAAAACATTACATCTTTTTTTTTTATTCATATTCAAAATACACTGTCATGTAATAGAGATTTAGGAGATTTATATTCATCTGCATATTCAGTAAATGTTATGATTATGATTCATGAAGGGAGGGTCATTTTTTTCTTACTAGCAGAACTAATGAGTAGTTCGTATAATTATTTATCTCTAAATAAGATTTTATCTCTTAACAGACATCAAATGACCATCTTTTTATATAACAATTTACCCAAACTCATTCAAAGTTCTTGTGCTCATCATTATATTGCTATATGCATGGCTTTGGGAAACACTTTTTATTTTTATTTAGCTTTTTCACTAAATTGAACAGTAAATGTGACCACTGAGCTTGCAATGAGCATGTACACAGTTTGATAAGTTTTGCAAATATTCTCTTTTCAGAATTCCTAAATCTCATTTGAGGTTTTTGAGCTAATAGTTGTAAACATGCGATCTCATTTTTGCATTTTAACAGTTCCCTGATCAATATTAGGACAACTGAGCAATTCTGTAATCCATTTTTATGACAGTTTCAATGTGTGCACTCTCAGAAATAAAGGCATGTGAGCTGCACTGGGGTGGTATTCAGAAGGTACAAATTTGCCCCAAAAAGGTTCATATTAATACCTCAAGGGTACACATTAGTACCTTAAAGGTACAAACGTGTTTGTCTTAAAATTTTAAGGTATTAATATGTACTTTTGAGATACCAATATGAACCCTTCAAATGTGTACCTTTTGAAAAGGTACCACCCCAGTGACAGCTCACGTACCTTTATTTCTGAGAGTGTGTTACCAGTGATGAGCAGTATTTATGATACATGTATTTCAAATACGTATTTTAAATACAAAATAGTATTTTGTAATTTGTATTTGATAGGACTGATGAGCATGGCTTAATGCTTTGGATCAAAATACTTTAGTGTCTTGTATTTTTATATTTTTAAAATACTTTGTAAGTAATCTACATCACATAAATGCACCCTATAACTGGTGCTTTGGATGTTATTGACTCTTCCATTTAAAAAATAAATTGAAAAAAATCTCAGAAGACAGAGTTTACTGTACCAATAATAGTAGTTTTAGATGGATTGCTAATGCCAAATGTTTGTTGTTAAAACAAACAACATAAAAGTAAGTCCTAGAGTGGCGATTCCTACAATACTTCATTGGCTGTTTTAAATGCCAGTAGTTGATCAGTAGGTCCACTCTACAGTTAATGAAGAGGAAAGATGTAAGCCTTAAGATGTCACAACATATGAAACACTAATATTTAATAATCCAAAACTCATAATAGTGTTTAAATTGAGTTTTGAAGAGTTCAATAGCAAAAAACTAGCTTTCTGAAAAATTCTGTGTAAACCAAAAAATTCAATTAAGTCTTTATTTAACACCCGTTTAAAATATTAAGAGGTCCAAAAATAATTGTACAGAAATGATGGCAATTTTACTGGCCACATTCGCTATCAAACATTGTTTACTCCACTAAGTCAGTTTAATGGGGAAGGGATTGATCGAATAAGTCTAATTGATGGAAGATTTGCAAAGAAATGTCATGCTCCTTTGTAAAAGAATTTTGTAGTACTTTTTAAATAGTCATTTATTTTTGATATATTTTGATGATGTATTTTGTAGTTTATTTTGATACACCTAAAATTAAGGTATTTAGTATTTTATTTTATAATACATTTTAATGTTTTTTTTTTTGTCCAACCCTGTGTGTGTGTCTGTGTGTGTGTGTTCTAGTTTATGTGGTTTACAAGTGTACAACTGAAAATGTAAGCTGGTTTATGAGGACATGTTCCGTCCTCATAATTTAAAAGGCTTAAAAATAGTACTATAATACTTAAAAGTGTTTTTGGACATTTAGATTTTGCCACAGGTTGGGTTTAGTGGTAGAGGTAGGGAAAAGCCATTCAATAAGCTTTTAGTTTATTAACTATTAATGTCTCTTGTTTTGGGGAATAATTTACAGTTAGGTTTGGAAATTGAGTATAGGTATGGATTACATTTTCAAACAGGAATGATGTTCCAGGATTAACATAGTACAATCATTCATTTTCCTTCAGCTTAGTCCCTTTGTTCATCAGGAAACGCCACAGCGGAATGAACCGCCGACTTATCCAGCATATGTTTTACATAGCGGACGCACTTCCAGCTACAACCCAGTACTGGGAATAGATTAACATAATGCATGAAATGAAATCCAGTATTGCATTCTACACAGCAAAACGACACCCCTAAACACATTTAACGTTACATCCTCAACATTTCTAAACATCTCAGATGCACTTACCCACACAGTTGAAGTTTCCAGCAGCCCAGGCTCGTCCACCCCAACATAAAGCCTCCTCGGCAGGGCCTGAAGCTCGTAGGGGGTCCATACTCACCATCCACGACCACAATCCAAAAGTGAGCGCTATCGTCCTCCAGCACATAATCTTATCTCAATGTCCACAGGCCTCTCCTCTTAGGTATTTCCTCGATCGCTGCACCACACCATACAACCATAACCCCCAAACATCTTACACACGCCACTCCAGCCTAATGAAAACCTGGGTGAAAAGACTCCAAAAAAAAGAAGCAGAAAAAAAGAGGTGTCCTTTCGGTTTGGTTCAGATCCCTACACACACACACACAAACACACACACAGAGAAAGTCTCAATCTCTCCTCTCCTTCTGCTCTCTAGCTGTTTTGGAAGCAAAGTATGAAATTCCTGACAGTCCCATGGTAAATTTGACACATGGTGAGAGCTCAGAAAAGAGCTTACCCTGGTGTAGGACTTTGAGGCTGAACAAAAACTACACTTCTGCAATTTAAAAAGTCACCCTAGGTTCAACCTCTTGGTCTATCTCTCTCTCTTTAGGTTTTTTTTGTCTGTGTGTGTGTGCTGTTCATGAGTAATGGGATGTTCCCTCACACAAAAGCTATTAAACTAGTGTTGTTGTGTCTGCATAGTCTCTGTGAGTGAATGGAGTTGGCGATGAAGGTGGGGCTTGTAATGTTTGCTATTAACCCCGCCGAACGCAATCTTATTATGCCAATGACTGTCATATTGTGGCAAGAATTAGTGGTATTGCTCTGGGAAAAATGCAGCAGTGCTGGGACAATTGATTCAGTGTTGGTGGAGGAAATGCGGTATAATGTCGGCTCTGATACACACACACAGGATACGAAGCTACAGAATTCACTGTATGAGTGTGAATGAGCTGATAATTAAAGTTGTTATAGACACGCTGAAATAAATATGGAAGCTGGTCCTTTATGGAATAAATACCATCCTTTTTTTGGATTTGTTTTTTAAGAATTTGTATTTCATAAGTTAGCATGGTAATTCATTCGTTCATTTTCCTTTGGTTTAGTATCTATTTCAGAGATCGCCACAGCAGAATGAACCACCAACTATTTTGGCATGTGTTTTACATATGTTTGGTATATTTTTTATTTAAAAATTCTCAAATGGTTGGCGCAATAGCCTAGTGGTTAGCACGCTCACATATGGTGCAGTAACATGTCAGGGTGTCCCGAGTTTGAATCCCGGCTTGAGGACATTTCCCTATCCCTCTCTCTCTCCAACCTCGCTTTCAGTCTCAACACTGTCCTATCTAATAAAGGCGAATAGGCCAAAAATAAATCTTAAAAAAATAAAAATTCTTAAACATGAGTTTATGGGTCAAGTTGCATTTTTGTTGTCTTTTTATGTCAAAATTGCAAGATATAAATTCTGACTTTTTCCTTTCAGTTTAAAGTTTGTATCATAGAATGTTGTTTCAATGTTGACAATTTTCTGAGAAAGAAAGAAATGGACAATTTAAACTCAGTTTTTTAAAGAATTTAAATACAAATTATGAAAAAAATATATGCATATTATAAACCTGCATTTGGGAAGGAAAGATTCAGAGGGAAAAATTGCAATACAGGTATGTAAATTAAAAATAGATATACATTTTTTGGTCCCACTTTATATTAAGTGGCCTTAACTACACCAAAAAATAAATACAATGTACTTCCTGTATTCATAGTGTATATTGCAGAACACATCTGGTGCTCTTGAGGTGGCATATAGGTAAGGTTAGGCAAAGGTTTGGTGGTATGGATAGGTTTAAAGCCGGGTAAAGGTGTAAGGGATGGTCAACTGTGTAATTAAAGATGTAATTACATGCATGTATTTAATTAATCATAAGTGCAATGTAAGGTCATGCATTTGCACAGTAAGTACATTGTGACAAAGGATTTATTTCAGTGTAAGTACATATTAGTTAAGGCCACTAAATATAAAGTGGCACCAACGTTTTTCTTGATAACTCCAATTTCATACATTTCTTTTTTATTGTTGTGAATTGATATATTACTATTTACATTTTAGACTATTTTTTTCACAGACAAAGGATCCTATGTTGCATTTCTGACCTGAAGGTAACGAAAGATTAATCTGAATAATAATTGCTTTATAGGTTCAAAGGTTTAGAGTCAGGTTTGGCATTAAAGTGGGAATATGTTCATTCCCATGCATAACACACACAAAATATAACACCGAAAACACACATGCTCTCACTAACAGTGCATAGAAATATAAAATTAAACACATGCTAAGACAGAGAGCTCGAAAGATAGAAATATACACAATTTGAGAACTGGAAAGAAACTTCAAACACCTGTTGCATTTAATGTATAGTTAATGAGAGCTTGTTGCAAAAATGTCATCAAATTGAACTAAAATGACCAAAATTACCTAAATGTCACAATTTGTACTTTGTTTTTTTACAATCATGAACCAGTGTTTTTGTATATGTATTCTGTTTTTTGACATTAAAAATATACTAAAATATTAAGAGCAAATATTAAGAGTCTTAATTTGCATCTCTGACTTGTAACAGAAAGACTGAGGGCCCTATCAAATACCCCACGCAATAAAGCACAATAATTGTGGGCTAATGGATGTTTTTAGTGGAGTGCGTACAACATCGTTTCCTTATCCACTAAAGTAAAGAAGTAAAGTTAATAGTAAGAGTAAAGAGTAAGACAAAGTAAAGCGGCCAAATGGAGGAGCCTTGTTTTTTATCCTCACGCTGCACACGGTCTGTTTAACTTTATTTCTCACTAGTGAACCATTCAGTTTTTCCACTTACAAATTCCACCATGTAAATAACAAATGCACCAGGGCATAACGCAACTGACTCTATAAGGGAATTGAGGATGAGACTCTGAATGGTTTAAAGCATGTTATGCTCAAAACACAAACAGAACTAGTTAAGAATAAGCACAACCCTGTTAAACCATGTGCTGTGTCACAGTTTTTTTTTTCCAACCTTAATATAGCAAAAGTGGATTCGGACAGGTCCTTAACGCTTTTGTGCTATGCGCTTTAGACTTTGCACCTAGATTGTTAAAATAGAGCCCTAAATGTTAGACCTTTTACTAATGAGAAAAAACATTTTAGGTAATAAAAATGTTTAATAACATTTATCACAACTCTAAATAATACTACTTCATCATACATTGGCATACACAAAAACCTTTTTCATTTTTGTACACTGCATTTCACCAAAAAAATAGAAAGAAATACAGAACTGTGCGAGATTGGGTGAAGAATATGGCTCTTAAAAAAATAAATGAATAAAAAGATAATACAATGTGGGCTCAAGATGAGTCTTTGTAAGGCAATGAGTTTGATTGCACACCAAGTGCTAATCTTTTATAACTAATTTTACCACAGCCTGACTAACACCAAGTGTGGAAAGATAACACACAAAGCCGATGGTCAATACATTAGCACAGATACTCAGATCTAGAGCTGTCACTTTTGTATGTCATCTGCGAGTCGATGCTCGAACGCGAACACAGTAACATCCTCTCCGACTCTTGAGTCTGTCTTCGTGCCCACAGATCATTGGCCTGCCCGTTTAGAGTCCTCTGCTTCATGGTGAGCGTCTCGAACTTCACGTAGGTGTCTTTGGAAAGGTCTTCATCTGGTCCGTTATTCCTGCTACTGTTTCCTTTGCAATAAAGACACAATATCTTGTAAAGCAACACCACGATGAGCGGCACCGCGATAGCGCATGCAATCGCGCTAGCGATCATCAAGACTTTATTCTGGCCTTCTTCTCCACCAATTTCCAAAGTACTGAAATCCACACACTGCTCTTTCCCAGAACTCTTAGTAACCAAACACACAGTGTAGACCTGATTAGGCATCAAATACTCCAAAAGCAGCTTCCCTTGACCAACTTCTGTATCCACCGTCTCCTTATCGTCTTTGGCGTCATATGGGAAGTAAACCACTGTTAGTGGCGTGTCGCTTGGCAAACCTTCGGCGCTCCACAATAAGACCGCCGTTTCAGTGGTCTCCTCTACTACCTCGATGTCTCTGATGTCCGACTTCTTTATTGAGCCCTTCCCGTTCTTGCTTTGCTGGACTTTAGCAGGTTTGTCTCCGGCAGGTGGGGACCTCTGGACTCCTCCGCCCGGGATCGGACTCTTTCTGGTTGTTAGCGGTGGCATTGTGGTCATGACGGGTCTGGTTGTGATTGTGATTGGGCTTAAGGAGGTAAACAATGGCATCTTAGTGGGTGTGAAAGTAGTCGTGGGCTGGTCTTCGGGCTGCTTGGTGATGTTTATGGGTGGGAATGGTGTCGTGGGCTGAACCCCGTCCACAGACAGGGTGATGTAGGCCTCTGCGTTGCCCGCAACGTTCTTGGCTTTGCAACGATAGTCGCCTGCGTCTTTAAACACGATGCTGTGCAAGCTGAGGATGGACCAGCGTACGCCTTCGCCTGGAGATTCCTGTACAACTATACAGAGACATGAAATAAGGAGAAAATAAATAACAATAAAAGTGCTAAAAGTCAGTGTGATTTCAAAATGTATAATGTTTATTTTGCTAGCGCACATTCTTATTCTTTCAGTGAGCAAGTTAATCTACACACACACACAAAAAGATTGTTTTGGTAATAAAAACTAATCAATCCCTACTCCCTACTCTCATATGGTCACCCACTGAAGCTAAGCAGGGCTGCGCCTGGTCAATACCTGGATGGGAGACCACATGGGAAAGCTAGGTTGCTGATGGAAGTGGTGAGACCAGTGGAGGGCACTCAACCTGGTCTGTGTGGGTCCTAACGCCCAAGTATATTGATGGGGACTCTATACTGCTCAGTGAACGCTGTTTTTTGAATGAGACGTTAAACCAAGGTCCTGACTCTCTGTGGTCATTAAAAATCCCAGGATGTCAGAAAAAAAAAAGAGTAGGGGTTAAACCCAGGCATCCTGGCCAAATTTGCCCACTGGCCTCTGTCTATCTTGGCCTCCTAACCATCATCATATCATAATTGGCTTCATCACTCTGTCTCCTCTTCACTTCATCAGTTGGTGCGGTCTGGCACAATATGGCTGCCGTCACATTATCCAGTTGAATGCTGCACACTGGTGGTGGATGAGGAGACCCCCCCCCCCCTCCAAAAAAAATGTGTAAAGTGCTTTGAGTGTCCAGAAAAGCGCTATAAAAATGTGAGGAATTATTATCATTTGGTTTCACGTTTGGAGTGACTGTCCTTCTCTGGTGACATGAGCTTGAAAGCTTCAGCCACAATATTTTTAACCACGCCGCTCTTACTATTAGTTTGCTACTAAGGAATGATACACAAAAAGAAAGCCCCGCCCCCTACTCAATATTTTTTTTTCAATTGGAAGTACTATAACACTAGGGATAAACCAATATTACAGTCTGTGTGAACTGGAAGTTGCTGCACACTTTAGTTCCAGTAGGATGATGTATTTCCAAATGAAAGGGAATATTATTGTGTAAGGGGCAGGGTTTAATTATTGCACTCCTCCGATCTTTCAATCACAATACAGTAACGGTTGAAAGGGTTCGGCTAAGCATATCTAGCCCAAGCTGTCAAACTGACACCATCAGTGAAGGTCTACCATTTCAGAGTAGATGGAAAACAAATTATTAGATATTGAATACAGATTACCATATCAAACGTTTTTGCTTGTTTGTTTTTTTCTTCAGTGGATTAACTTGCATTGATTCATTGATCACTTAAAAAAATAGTTCACACAAACGTAAAGTAAAGAAAAAAGACAGAAAAGTTTGTCATCAATTACCCACTCTTGACATGCTACAAAACAGAAACCAGTAACACTTGACTTCCTCAGTATTTGTCACTATGTTTGTCAGTGGTTACCAGTTTCCAACATTCTTCAAAATATCTTCTTTTGTGCACAAAAGCACAAACTGGTATGAAACAAGTGAAGGGTGAGTAAAAGTTTACAGATTCTTTGAATGAACAACCCCTTTAAGACAAACAATGTGCACTAGTAAAATAAATATTGTAAACAAACTGAATGCAAACTTTAATAATGATTACTGAATATTGCTGAACATTGTCACGATATATATATATATATACTGCAATATTTTGCATGCAGCAGATGAACACTTTACAAGAGTTTACTATACCTGAACTGCAATTTGTAAATGGTTTTGGGTAAAGAAAAATTCAAGTTTCTATCATTGAAGTAAGAAAATAAAATAAATTCCCAGCTGTATGTGCTTGTGTTTTGTTTTTGTTAACAGGCTCAGAAAAATTCAAGATGTCTATTTATAACAACTTTTAAATATAAAGAGATATCTGTAACAGACAAATTTTGGGAGATGCACATGAACAATTCAATATCAACTATGAATACAGCAGAAGTACTTTAAAGAAATACTTTAAAGAAATAAAATACTTTAAAAATGTCAGAATGTATACATGTAAAAGGGAAAGTTCATCCCAAAATAAAAATGTAATGTTGATTTTTTTCATTCTTAGATAATTCAAATTGTAAGTGACTTTTTTTCCTTCAGCAGTCAAAATAAAATGTAATAATGTTGTAAATGCAGTTCAGTTTGACTGATCAAGCTTACAAGACCTCAATGAATGATGAGGAGCCACAGATATTAATTTTATTTGACCTGTAAGGGCTTGAATCTATTGACTTGCTTTTAATGCATCACCAAGGACAACAGTTTCAACCAAAACATGCTCTACTTGTCCATTTATTTTGGATGCATTAAGGAGGAGTGGCGGTTCATTCTGCTGTGGCAACCCCTGATAAATAAAGGGACTAAGTCAAAAGAAAATGAATGAATGAAGGAGGACTACCATTAACAGGAAATTACTGCTCCCCCTTTTTTTACTATAATGAAAACTGGCCCTTTACTACATGTTTAAACACAGATGTGAAAAAATAGTTCAGTATTTTAAAAACTACATCGAATTATGTAATTGATGCATGGAATTACGTAATTTTCCCTCAGTGAACTTAAATCTGTGATTCAAATACTCAAAAAATGCCACATACAGTAAAACACTAACAAACTTAATGAATGAATGCATGTATATAGTGCATTTACTGTGTTTTGCCATACACCTAAAGAGCTTTACAATCACATTAAGTGGTCTCTCCTCATCACCACCAGTGTGCAGCATCCACCTAAACTTTTTCTAATGGCCAATACCTGTGTTGTTGACCACAGATCCATCAGCTGTGGTCCACAGTAGGGTTGGCGTAGGGAAACCATTGGCGTCGCAGCGCAGAAGCACATTACTTCCCAGCGGTGAAGTGATCTTTGTGGCTGAAGTCATGACTGTCGGCTTCACGCACTGATCCAGTTCAGCTCGCTGGAACAGAACTCCAGATAAATGCTCTGGACCGCTGCATGTCAAGACCTGATCCATCAGCACCACCGGTATGCCGGCCATCTTCGAGAGCTCGATCAGCTTGGAAATCCGGCAATCACAGTACCAGGGATTGTCCTGCAGACCTGCAAACATCAACATATTTCATTAGAATTAGTTTTTCAAAGCAGTATCTTAAATACAGAACATATAAAAATAGTCTGGTTTATTTTTTTCAGAGCAAAAACTTATATAAAATAAATAAAAAATATCTATCATACGTTTTGATCATGCTTTACAGCAACTCCAAATAAAATGTAATTTATTTAAAATCTTTTCCACTATCGTTTTAAACAGGCATTTTCATTCTTTTAGATCAGAGGTGCCCAAACTGGAGGTTTTGTTTTAAACCCAATAGGACACACCTGATCTAGGTAGTCAAGCTCTATCAAGAGTCCACAATTAGCTGATAATCAATAAAGCGTAATTGGCATGCTGTCCTGGGAGAGAGCCCTGAGCTCATAATATCCTCGAGCCCAGGGCTCCCTCCCGTTAGAAGGGCGAGAGGGGAGTTCGAGCTCAGGTGGGTCTCGAGAACTCCTCTGCTTGTGGCCGTGTGAGAAGTGTAAACTAAGGTTGTCTTGGGTGATAATTTGGTTTAGTCGATTGGCTATGGTGTATGTTTTAGGACAGAGGGAGGAAATCGGGAAACCCGGGGGAATCCCATGCGAACACGGGGAGAAAATGGAAACTCCGCACAGAAATGCCAACTGGCCTGATAGGAGGTTGGATCAGCCGTTTTCTTGCTGTGAGGCAACAGTGCTAGCCACTGGGCCACCGTTTTGCCCTATCGGAAAAAAGGGTGGAAGGTAGGGGTGGAAGGGGGGAAAACTTCAAGACGAAAATAACTGGGGTGAAAAACTCTGGTTATTTATAATGCTTTCATAATCATCGAATCGGGCAGATTACAGAGCTAATGAGGTGCCAGCCGTGTTGATCATAAGCATGTCATCCTCTCGAAATTAGTTTATAGATAAACCACACTTATAGGTATACTAGGTAGAATTTCCAATTAGGTATGTTGAAAGAAGTTGGAGCTAATCTATGCAGGACACTGGCCATCCAGAACTGAGTTTGGGCACCCCTGTTTTAGATGCTAACCCAAAATATGATCATGTGCAGAAGGCATGGGCCAGTATAAGTTTCTGATGGTATGATAACCTTGGGTAAAAATATCACGGTTTCACGATGTCATGGTATTACTACTCTCAGATAGGTTCTTTTTAAATGTCTGGGAAAAAACAAGAACTGATATATGAAAAAACCCTGACATATACATTAGGAATGGTGGGCTGGGCGATTTGACCTAAAATCAAATTTTCAATTACTTGTACATTTTAACTTGATTATAATTTATGAACGATTTATTTATTTATTTATTTATTTATTTAATTATTATTATTATTATTTTTTTTTTGAGCTCACAGTTCATTGGCAAGTTTTGTACATTAAATATGCCCACAAATTACAAGTGAGAAGTTTTCGAATAAACGGTGCATTGCTTAATTTAAAAATAATTGAAAGAAACGTACTCACTATCTATTATCTATGATTAATTATTGAACATCAACGTTGAACAACTGAAATTAAAGCACACATTGCCTAAATGTAAATAATTTTCTGTGTTTTCATATTAAAAGTAGAAAATAAGCAGTATCTCTTCTAAATAAAATAACTCTTGTATAACTTGTAAATAATATTTTAACTTGCTTTTTCTGTAAACAAATATTTTAATGTGAATAATAGTTTTAATGTAATGCAAATATGCCATCTCAAGGCATCTCTGGTGTGGCTTCCAATCATCGTCAGTGTAGTATAAAGTAAGACTCAAGAATAGGTTCATCAGATGTGGCTGAAAAAAGTCTGCAGAAATCAGCCTCTACCTTTAACAGTGCGGTCATGTGACTCCACATGTGGAGGGAAAATAAATGAAAAAACCGTCCTTGAAAAATTGGGTCAATTATAGGTTTTGAATGTCGATTTCGATTATTTTGCAATTAATTGCCCTGTCCTTTTAGCGGTAAAAATTTTTTAGCGGTTTGAAAATCTTGACTTTTCCAAACCGATATAAACTTTGAAACTGGTTATCGCCCCATGTCTAACATGTAATCTATTTTATTTTTGCATAAACATTATATTATCTTAATTTAATATTTATTAATTTATTTATTTATTTTTCAATTTTTTGCTTAATTTATTTTTATTTATTGCTTCTTCAAAACTATTTTAATAAAATGTCGCTATTTATTTAGTTATTTTGTAATAATAATAATAATAATAATAATAATAAAGTTTTTTCTCCTCAAATAAAATAATAGACCCTAAAACCCCATATTTGGCCCCATTAATCAGTAAAAATGCTTTAATCATTTAAAATATATTACAAATTAGTATGATCATGCATTCTTTTCTATATTTTAATGATTATTTCAGTTTTTACATAAATACGTTACACCAAATGATTATTAATATGTTTTTCATGTATAGTGTAAAAAATCTATTTCGTTCATTTAATTCGATGTGGACACCAAAACTGAACACCTTGTCTTTGACCCATTCATTTATCTACTGTGAGGTCTACAAACATTCAAATCCATACCTTTAATCCTTTCCTACCAAACTTAAAGAAAACACAATCACGTTTGATTCCCTGGAAATGCATAAACGAATAACCTGCAAACCTTCGATGTAATACAAGTCACTTTAAATAAAAGCATCTGCCAGATTCATTAATGTTTTACTCAATGAACGGCTTAAACTGAAACAAAGACCCCAGGATTTCATATTCCGCTCTAAATTGTAAACCAGTTTACTCTCATCAAATCAGTGAGTTGTAAATCTTGACATAAATCCTAAAGCCAGGATGTCTTGTCTGTATTGCATGCAACGGTGTTGGACATTAACACCACAGTCCAGCCATAATTCTGTCTACGGCAGGATGAAGATCGGTTGACTGTAAACTAGGAATTAAACGCTCCACTGATGCAACTCAACAGCTGGATGGAAGCAACTGTTAATATCCTGATGACACTGGCTCAGATTCTGCATTTGGGCTCATCTTTACACTTGTAAAGCACCAGGTGAAAGTATAAAACACGCAGTTCAATTTCTGCAGTCATAAGCAGATGAGCTGTTGCACTAAATGAGATAAAACGATAGCAACAAATCAAAACAGTTAATAAATATACACACATATGTGCACACACTCAGTTACTCAGCTTCTCTGTACCCTTCTTTATAGTTGAAAGTGGAATTATTTAGCAAAATATATTAATATAACACGAAAAATATTCAATTATTCTGCTTCTCTGAATTGATTTTTGCAGTACTCTCAAATTTAGGTACAGTATTTAAAGCAAAAATATTGTTAGTAGTTTTAATGAAATGACCTAAAGGTAATCCCTTACTGTACTTTTTTGGTGTAGAAGTAATTTAATTAACTAATTACACCCAACTATGTGTGTGTATTTGTGTAATGGCCATAAACTTTATAGTAATTACTGTAATGGAGCAAAATTGGTGAAATACAGTCATTTCCTGTTATGAGCTGTCTTTATGAATGGAGCGGCAGTTGCAAGGAGGAAGTGTGGCGTGCACTCCGAGCAGACAATGCAGATGAATTCATGAAAGTTGGACAGTGTAAATGTTCTTTTAGGATGTGCAGTTGGGGATACCTGAATGTGCTAACGCTGAGTAGCAGTTATCGTAGCTGTAGCTGGAGTTAGCTTATGTCACTGTTTTGAGTTACTTAGGTTTCCCCCACAAGTCCAAAGACATGCGGTACAGGTGAATTGGGTATGCTAAATTGTCCTCAGTTTATGGGTGTGTATGAATGTTTCCCAGTGGGAATCCATGAATTGCAGCTGGAGGGGCATCCACTGTGTAAGACATATGCTGGATAAGTTCGGTGTGGATAAGTTTGCTGGACTAATCGTTGACGTATGGAATACTGTTCCCGGGTCCAAGCCACTACACATTTGAATTGAGAAAATATTAATTTAAGGCCACTTTTTAGGCATATTACACATTATTAAAGTGAATTTTAAACCAAATCATAGTGTACATATATAAGTAATATAAATATTGCGGTTGTGATTTTCGAAAGTATTACATCAATTTGCAAACGTTTTTTATTACCATTTGATGAGTCTCCCCATACAGTTTAATAAAGCGCTTGGACCCGGAAGCTACTTTGCATAGAGTCACACTTAATAAGCATATAAACTATTGATAAACAATGATAAACTATTTACAACTAGAGATATTCATTGTGCAGTGTGTACTGGTTTGGTACAGATTTTTCTATAATGACATGGCATGACCAAGTTGTAGTCTATTGCAGTGGTTTATGAGAACATGTCTGATGTCCTTGTAATTCTAAATGCTTAAAAAGCATAAATAACGATGTCTTTTGATATTTTACCACATGTTTTGTGTGTTAAAGTTATGGAGAGTCCCTGAAAATACCAACATGCACGTATGTGTGTGTGTATACAGTTTATACTGGACCAGCAGTTCATTCATTCATTTTCCTTCAGGTTTGTTCCTTTATTTATTAAGAGAATGAACTGCCAACTTCTCCAGCTTATGTTTTATGCAGTGGATGGCCTTCCAGCTGCAACCCAGTACTGGGAACACCAATACATTCACAAACACTCTCACATTCACACATATACACTATGGCCAATTTAGTTTTATTCTATTCACCTATAGCGCATTTGTTTGGACTGTTGGGGAAACTAGAGCACCCACAAGGAAACCCATGCCAAGACTGGGAGAACATGCAAACTACACACAGAAATGCCAACTGGCCCAGCCGGGACTCAAACCAGCAACCTTTTTAATGTGAGGCGACAGTGCTAACCACTAAGCCACCGTGTCGCCCCTCTAGACCAACATAATACATTCATCATGACCCTCAAAGTACATTATGGATATTCTGTAGCCACTGAGTGTATGTTGGTTTGACATTTGAAATTGAGTTGCTTTATGGGATTGAAAGAGTGAACTTGATAAAAACCACTTTGATTTTAGACACTGTGGTCCCATTAAATAATGCCAGTTGACGTTTTTTTTTTTTAATTCAAGCGACTCATTCATAAAGTCAGCTGTTTTCCTAATTTTGATCCGCAGAAAGAACTGGTGTAAAATCCACTTTCACGGGATCAGTGTTGTAGTCTAAAACTGAATTTGAACGAGAAGACTTACTATTATATCAAGTCACCCTTTTAAATTGTATACATTCAAAAGATGCCCAAAAAATGTACGACATTATTAATTTTCTCTTGAGCAGGGATCTGGTAGCAAACCCATGAATCATCCTCTTCCCAGATGAGCGCTTCAAAGAAACTTAAATCTCAGAGCCTCACTCACAGAAAGCCCCATTAGAAGATTAGCTTGTACTTAACTTGGGAGAGCCCGTGAAGACACAGGCTAGATTTAGATTTATTTAAAGATCACGCTTGGACTTACTATAAAAAGAAGAGCGGGATATTCTTGACTATTTCACATGCATCTATCCAGGATCTTTGCATGTAAGGCTCAAGAATAACCAATCCTTCTGAAAAATCAAGTCAACTTTAGCCTAAAAGAGTACTTACTACAAAAATAAAATACTTTAGAACTTTTTTCCATAAACAAATAAATATTTATAGATATAGTTCTCTATAGTTTCAAACATTTATGCTTTTCATATGGAATTTAGGCAAAATTCTAAAAAAGAAATGGTGATGTTATGGAAATCAATGACTCCCTTATGATCTGTTGAGTTCAACTGAAGAAACTCAAATGTGTCAAATTTGATGATGCCACAATTCATTTAACTGCATATTCTAGTTACACAAGGGTACTTGTAAAATTGAGATTATGGACATGTAAAACAGATTAAATTAGATGCAATATTGAATAATAGTTTGAATTATAATCAAGTACTTAACATGTAGTATGTTAGTCAACTCATCAAATTAAGGATATTTTTAAAGAATTAGTACACCCCCACCCCCAAAAAAGGTATTAATTACTCATGTCCATGTTGTTCCAAAAACCTGAGACCTTCATTTATCTTCTGAACATAAGCTCAAGAATTTTTAGATGAAATCTGAGAGCTCTCCTACCCTCCATAAATAACAAGGATCATGTGATTAGCGGCCCAGAAAAGGAACTAAAAACAATGGATGTGACTTCAGTGGTTCAACTGTAATCAGACAAAGTTCTAAGAATACTTTTGTTATAACAGTTTTGTTTGTAAATGTCTTTCACATCAGGTCTGAGTGCGCATTTAATAAAAGCAATTAAACGCTTGCATGTTGTACTGCTGACTCTAATGTAAATGCGCAACCAAATGTGGAAGAAAAAACACTGGTTGTTTTTTAAGTTTTTTAGAGCACAAAAGTGTTCTTGAAGCTGTGTGTGGTTACAGTTGAACCTCTGACAACATATGCAATGTTTTGCCAATGCTTTTAGTTTCTTTTCTGGACTTTTAATGACACAAGCGTTGCTGTATATAAAAAGTCAGAGAGCTCTCAGATTTTATGTAATATATCTTAATTTGTGTTTAGAAGTCCCGTTAGGAATGTTTTGACAGTGTTTTGGCTCATTTTTCTAGACTTTGAACATCTCGGTATCGTTGCTGTCTATGGAGGGTCAGAGAGCTCTCAGATTTCATTTAAAATATCTTCTGAAGATGTACAAAGGTCTCAGGATGTAGGAATGACTTAAGGGTAATTAATTACAAAAATGTCATTGTGGTCAAACTTTATTTTGATGGTCCGTTTGTTGAATTTAAGTTACATCACAACTAATTCTCATTAGATTATAAGTAGGCTGTTGGGTCGGGGTTAGATTTAGTGTAAGTTGACATGTACTTGCAAAGTTTCTTATAGTCAGTTAATTGTCTGTTGAAGGAGCAGAATCAACATATTAAGCAGACAGTCTACTAATACTCAAATCGGCAATTAAAATAAAGTGTCACCTAATTTTTGGGTCAAATAATATTTACAATTAAAATATTGTGAGTTTTTTGTTGGAACAGTTTTTGTCAACAAATTAAGTTAATGTAATTAACATCTTAAAAGACTTCTTGCAATGTCACAATTTACCATTAAAAGCATATCTTAATGTATTTGGGGTTGTGAGTTAATGGTTAAGGAGTTTGACTTGTAATCAGGAATTGCAGGAATTAAAGATGGAGGGGGGAGTGAATGAAACTAACCACACCCTTTCTCCATCTTTGATACTCAGCAGAAGTGCATTTGAGCAAGACAAAAATAAAGGGCCAAGCCAGGGGTGTCCAAACTCAGTCCTGGTGGGGCGGTGTCCTGCCCTGAGTTTAGCTCCAACTTACTTCAACACAACTGCCAAAAGGTTTCTAGTATATCTACAGTAGTAAGAGCTTGATAAGCTGGTTCAGGTGTTCAGGGTTGGAGCTAAACATTCCAGGACACGAGGGCTGCGTCCGAAACCGCATACTTCCATACTATATAGTACGCTAAAATCAGTATGCGAGCCGAGTAGTATGTCCGAATTCATAGAATTCAAAAATCAGGATGCGAGAAGTACCCGGATGACTTACTACTTCTGGCGAGATTCTGGAGTGCGCATCCCATGCACGCTGCGCTATCCCATGATGCCCCGCGAGCAAATTCATGAATGGGAGTGAAGCGACGCAAATGACGCAGGTAGGTCGCGTGACCATGACAAAATGGCAGATATAGTAAATCCGAATTTCATTCATACTTTTCACATTCATACTGTATAGAACGTACTTTTCTAACGGCCGAGTAGTACGTTTACATTCAAATGCAGTACCTACTGAGTAGTAGGCGGTTTCGGATGCAGCCTGGCTCTTCAGGACCGAGTTAGGACATCCCTGGCCTGAGCCCTAATTGCTCCCTGGGCCCTAGAAGCAATGCTCCAGTATGCTCACTGTCTCTGTGTGTGTGTGTGTGTGTGTGTGTGTGTGTTCTCACTTCTCACTTGTGCGTGTACCAATTTTAAGAATGTGTAACCATACTTGACAATCCTCATTTAACTTCACTCTATTTCACCCTTGTCAATTTACTCACCCAATGGCCATCCAATGTTACTTTTTTTGCTGAACATTGAAGATTCAAGCTGAAACTGTTGTCCTAGATGACTCATTATATGAAATAGTACTTCTACTGCATTTACATTTAGTTATTTTGCAGACACTTTGTCCAAAGCGACTTACAATTGAGGAGACATAGGAATAACCAATAACTACTACCACTTTAAGAGTAAAAAACGTTTAAAAAGAAAATCAATACTCATGGCTCTTGACAAGATGTCAGCCCAAATTCTTCTTTTACAGTAGATACTATTCTAATGCATAACCTTGGATGGCCTGAACTAAAAGAAAATCTTCAATCATCATTGTTTACCCACCAAGAACAGTCTTCTGTGAAGTGTTGGCACTGGGCTGGATGCCTGAAAACGGAGGCCAGATGTCCACCAGGTCTGACGGGAGAGTAGTTAATTTGTTGCTAGAAATATCTAAGTAGGTGATGTTAATCAGGTAGGGTGCTGCCTCCACAGGAACACTAGTCAAGCGATTGTTATGTAGGTCCAAAGTCTTCAGACTGGGCATTTCTTTCAGGGACTCCCAGGGGAAAGTAGCAATCATGTTCCCATCCAGCCGGAGCTCATGGAGAACTTTCAGATTGTAGAAACTACCCGGATCCACAGAGGTGATTGAGTTGTAGGTTATCCACAGGTAGCGTAGCTCGGACAGGTAGTAGAAGGCCTCGGTGGGCACTCGACGCACTGCTGTCTTCTCCACCCGCAGCTTCACTGTGTCCAACGGAACGTTGACGGGGATGTCAGACATGTCAGGGTCATTGCATAAAACAGACCTGCAGCAGATTTTCAGAGTTTACCATTTTAAATTATTATTGTTATTATTATTAATATCTTATTGCATTTTAACTTTACACTCAAGTAAAACCCATTGTAAGAATTTTTAAGCTAGTACAACAAAAGAAATAATCCTTCTTTCGTTTCGCTTTTTCTAGTTCACTCAACTTTTGAAAACATCACATCAGCTACACTGACCTAAAATTATTTGTCAGGAATACAAAAAGCATTTTGTTGGGTTAACATAAGATTATTAGTTTTCTGGAGAGGTGAACTACTCTGTAGCAAAACTTTTTAAGTTGTGCCAACTAAACATTTCTTGTCTGCAGCACTGGAATGCCTCATAACCTTATTTTCTTTTATTTTTTCTGGTGTGCTCAACATATTTTTTTCACCATTATTTGATAGGATAGTAGAGAGTATAGACAGGAAAGCAAGTGGAGAGGAGAGATAGGAAGGACCAGCATAGGACGTTGAGGCGGGAATCAAACTCTGGTCGCCATGAACACCGGAATACCATGTGTCAATGCACTAACCACTGTACCATTGGCACCATTGGAAGTTGAGTGAACAAAAAAACTCTGGTGGAAATCGGTACAAAGAAATAATACATTATCAGAACAAACAAACATTGTTCAATTGGAAAAAAACGGGAAGTCATGCTTCACATGTGAAGCTATACAAGGCATTTTCCCTGTTTGTCCTGCCATATTTTGATCCTTGTCTTTATTACCGTTGTTGTTGTTTTACCTCCTGTCCTGCTTCTAATTCTGTGTCTAATAAATGTTTTGTTAACGTTTTATTATTTATTTATTTATTTTTTTATTTAACTATGTTTGTTTGTTACTTGTTCACTCAACTTTAGTTGAGTACATAACGGCCCCAATGGTGTAATGATTGATGTGTCGACACATGGCACTCCAGTGTTCACGGTGACCCAAGTTCGATCCCTGCCACGAGGTCCTATGCTGATCTTTCCTCTCTCCCCACTCTTTCCTCTCTACTCTCCTTTCGAATAAAGATGAAAAAAATGTTGAATACACAAGAAAGAAAATTAGGATTATAAGTTGTTGTTTTTTTGGGTTTATTCAACTTCAGGCATTTCAGTGCAGCAGACGAGGAATGTTTAGTTGGCACAACTTAAAAAGTTTTGTTAGAGAGTAGTTCACCTCTCAAGAAAACGAATAATCTTATGTTAACCCAACTAAATGTTTTTTGTATTACTGACAAATAATTTTAGGTCAGTGCAGCTGATGTTTTCAAAAGTTAAGTGAACAAGAAAAAGTGAAAGGTAATAAGGATGATGTTTTTTGTTGTTGTACTGACTTATAAATGTTTACAGTGCAAAAACAGTAAAAACAGTAAAGAAACAAAAAACAGAAGTAAAAATTCTCAGTATTTTACATCAATATTTATAACCTCTCTTATTATTTAAAATAATTTTGAGTGCCAGTTTGAGTGCACTCAAAAATTTAAATCATTGGTGTAAATCCATTTAATTACGACACACATTTCCACTCATTTGAATTGTGTTATTTCAAAAGGAACCCAAGAGCTACACTGTAAAACATGCAGGGTTCCATCCAATTCCTTCACTTTGCCCCACCACAAATCTATTAAGTTTGAATTGATTGAGCATAAAAAATTGAGTTGTCCCCCAAAAAAACTCAAGAATTGTGTTGTTTCAACTCATTTTCAATAAGTAGTTTGAACAAACAGCAAAAGTAATTTTAACAGTGTAGTTACACAAGCACAATTCCTTCATTTTGTCTCAACATAAAATGATTAAGTTATCTTATTTTATTAATATTATTACTATTTTCTTTTACAAACTTAAGTGGATTGAAAATAAAATTAATAAAGTATTAAAAAAACAACAACACTCCAATTGTATTGTTTTAGCTCTTTTTAAACAAGTAGTTTGAACAAGTACTTTTGGTTGTCTATGTGAGGAATGTCTGCCTCTGAAACAACACTGAGTAAAAGGAAGGGAATTGTTTGTTTTTTACATGTATAATTTACGCTTACACTACAATTCAATTACTAAATGATTAAAAATGGCTTCCTAGCGTGTATGTTCACACTCTAGGGCTAAGCTCTAAAGATAAACACAAGCTAATACCCCACGTGATAGTTTTAAATCTATTTTTTATTACAGTGGATGACTTCTACCCTAATTCATTTATTTTCAAGTACGTATTATTTAAAATGTTGTTGTTATTATAAAGAGAATATAAAACTATTAATGTAACACTTTATGTAAAGTAGTCCGCAGGAAAAAAGGAAAACACAATAAGGTTTCATTACTTAACTACATTAGTTTCTACAAAAATAATTCTAGAGCTACAGTAGTTTTGTTCGCAGTAATAATACTGTGCACTTTATTTAAAGGTCAAGAATCTGAGAATTAGTTAATGCACCGTAAACTAACATGGAATTCAGCATTTGTATTACCTAACATTACCAGATATTATCAAAATTAATCATGCATTAAATGCTAAATGCTTTAAATACCTTTCATTTGATCATTTAATTTCGTTTTAAAATGCCGTCACATTCTATTTAATGTAAGTGCACAGAAATGCAATAATTAATGTTAACAAATAAAACACAACTGTAAAGAGTGAATGGAAATAAATAGATTTATCTGCACAAGGCTATTAGGCAAGAACATGTTTATATAAGCCTTTTGCTCAAAATTATATAACTTAAGTGTCAAGAACCATGCAAAATTAAAACCTCTAGCTAACTATATGAAATGTAGTCTACCCATTCTTATCTTTGAACAACATCTAGTCTAGTTATTTTGTTTAATATTTATGGGGGAAATATTATTTTAATGTATTGTATCTATATACGGGCAATATCTGTAGCTACAAAGTTTTCAAATATTGTTTAGCTCTTGTATTTCTTCTTTATGTCCATCTAATAGCTTGTCTACTATTTTATTCCTGAATTTATGCATTCATTCATTGATTTTCTTTTCGGCTTAGTCCCTTTATTAATCAGGGGTCGCCACAGCGGAATGAACCACCACCATGATTTACACAATGAATGTAAATTAAATTAAGAGTTGAAGTTTTATTAAATTATTATTATTAACATTTGTAGTTTTATTGCCCTTTTGTTCGTATTTATTAAAATTTTATTAAATGCTGTTGTGTAGTAGTGCGTTTACTGTACCTGCTGCCAGTGCCGTCGCTGCGGCCGTGGTAGACACATGTGCACTGGGAAGGGCAGAAAGGTTGTGCCACACTCCAGCAGCCCAGCAGAACCTGCGCCACCAGCAGACGATACATCCTTCAGTCAGCCGAAGCACAGCCACGGATCCTCGCACTCACACACATCAGACCCCACTCGAACATCAGTGGACAAAAAACCCTTTATCAGTCCTGGACGAGAACGAAAAAACGCAAGAAAAGCCCGTACCGGCAGGCATCACCTTTAGCATGCTAACAGGTGAGAGGAGAGGTACGCAGGAAGCCGAGCAGCGCAAGGACCGGGAGGGGGAACCGAGATTAGAAAGAGGATTTCTCAAGGCTGAGTAGGTCACTAAAGTTGAACAGGGTGGGATGGGAAGTGTGTATGAGTTTATTTGTGTATGTGTGTGTGTGTGAGAGAGTTGGAGGAGGAGGAGGATAAGCTCTGCAGGCACACGCTAATCGGCTAATGACAAGAAGAAGTTTCTCTCGGCATCATCACGTGACCGCTGTTAGACACTTTTCCATCCTGCGCGGAACTGATTGTTATGACAAGCCGTTTATGGAAATCTGAATCCGATTAATATAGAAATATGTGAATAAATGTTTTAATGTGCAATAAATGTAATTATTATTATTATTATTATTATCATTATTATTATTATTATTATAAGGGTTAAACAATGAAACTAAACGCCTGGTTTTAGACTACAATAAATAAGATGTAGCACCCAATACAGCATCAGTTCGTCTTTGGAATGAGTCCTGCACAGTTTCCAGAGGGATTTGAGACATTTTGTCTTGCAGAATATTGGCCGGTCCATGAAGAAAAACGTTTCTCTGACTCATTCATTTACACCCCAAAGTGGCTCAAACATATTTATATCTGGTGACTGTGCAGGCCTTGGGAGATGTTCAACATCACTTTCATGTTTTTCAAACCACTCCATCACCAGTCTTGCTTTGTGTATTGGTGCACTATTATCATCTTGCATGACACCACCTTCCAAATACAATGTTTGAACTATTGGGTGCATATAATCCACCAGAATTGTTCGGTTTAGCCTTTGGTAGTGACATGCCCATCTAGCACAAGTTTTGGGCGTAGGAAATGCAATGATAAATGCAGCCCAAACCATCACTGATTCATGCCTTACTCTGGGCATGCAGCAGTCTTGGTGCTATGCTTTTTGGGGGTTCTCCACACCGTAACTCCCCTGGATGTGGGAAATTCAATTCAATTCAGCTTTATTTGTATAGCGCTTTTACAATGTAGATTGTGTCAAAGCAGCTTCACATAAATGGTCATAGTAACTGGAACAGTGTGGTTCAGTAACTGGAACAGTGTGGTTCAGGTTTTAGTGTTTAAGTTCAGTTCAGTTCAGTTTAGCTCAGTTCAGTGTGATTTAATCATTACTGAGAGTTCAAACACTGAAGAGCAAATTCATCGATGCGTAGCTCTACCAATCCTGAACCATGCGAGGCAGTGGCGACAGCGGAGAGGGAAAAAAAAACTTCACCTGATGGGAGTGAAGAAAAAAAACCTTGAGAGTACCAGACTCAGTTGGGCACGACCATTTTAATTTCTCCGCTGGCCAAGACAGTGAAGAGTCATCAGAGAACAATACATGTTTCAGATTGTCCACAGCCCAAGATTTTCACTGCTGGCACCATTGAAACTAACATTTACCCTTGGCACAAGTGACCAAAGGTTTAGCTATAACTGGGCTGGGCTGGGCTGCTGTGGTTTTGTGTTTTTTGGATGCAATCTGTGTTAGCACCAGGACATCCCTTTCAGACAGCTTCCTCTTGCATGCACAGTTAATCCTGTTCAATGTGGTTCGTCCTTCTTGGTGGTATGCTGACATTACCCTGGATACTGTGGCTATTGCTACATCCCAATGACTTACTGTCTTGGTCTCAGATGCACCAGTGAGATGCGCACAAACAATTTGTCCTTATTTGAACTCTGATATGTCACACACCCATAATGTTATGTGCATTGCAATATTTTAAGCAAAACTGCTATTACTCAGATAATTAAACCTTCATGCTCTGCTCTTAAGCTGTGGTCACATTGCACTTTTCTCCCCATAGACTTCCATTCATACGCACGTGAATGCGTCAGACTGGAAATTCAAGCTCGTGCGACAAATTTTGCAGTTCGCTGTGTTGCAAAGTTCAAGCTTGGTGAACTCTGACCTGTGAAATCGCATCACTTGACTGCGTGAGACCAATCGAGGATTAAAACATGACCTCTCTGGACAGGAATTTAAACCATGGACCAATCGTGCACTTTTTAAATGCCTAATCATCTTGTTCCCGCTCCTTTTTGCAGCTTCATACTACAGAATTGCGCAAGCTCAAACTCTACTGTGACTGTAGCTTTACTGGTGGAATTTGCAATCAATGAAGATTGGCCACCAGGCTGGTCAAATTTAGCCAGGCATTAAATTGTCCAACCCCTACGAAGAACCCCAACCCCACGTTGCATGTGTGTATATATTAGTTTTTATAACAGTATTTTACATTTCATTTCTTATTTATGTATCTTTTTGTTTCCACAAAATTACACTTTTATTTATTTTGAAATTTCAGACATAATACAGTCAGTTGACACCCAATTGTATTTTATATAGTTGCAATCAGATTGGATTAAACCGCCTGCATTATTAGCCCCCCCACACCACCCCACCCGTTTATTTTCCCCCCAATTTCTGTTTAATGAAGAGAAGATTTTTTCAACACATTTCTAAACATGATAGTTTTAATACCTCATCTATAATAACTGATTTATTTTATCTTTGCCATGATGTCAGTAAATAATATTTTACTAGATTATTTTCAAGACACTTCTATACAGCTTAAAGTGACATTTAAAGGCCCAGCTTGGTTAATTAGGTTAACTAGACAGGATAGAGTAATTAGACAAGTTATTGTATAATGATGGTTTGTTCTGTAAACTATCAACAAAATCTAGCTTAACAGGGCTAATAATTTTGATCATAATTTAAAAGGAAAAAAAAATAAAAACTGCTTTTATTCTAGTCGAAATAAAACAAAAAAAGACTTTCTCTGGAAGGAAAAATATTATCAGACATACTGTGAAAATGTCCTTGCTCTGTTAAACATCATTTTGGAAATATTTAAAAAAGAAAAAGGGGGGCTATTAATTCTGACTTTAACTGCACATAGTGAGAGGGAAAGAGAAATAATTCAGAATGCATTTATTTGAATGTTATTTAATTATATTATTGTGTTATATTTTTATATATTTAATTATAATTATTGAATAATTGTTTATAATAAGATTATTTTGAAACTGCTTATTATTATTTTATTATTTATTATTTATTAATTATATATATATATATATATATATATATATATATATATATATATATATATATATATATATATATATATATATATATATATATATATATATATATATATATATATATATATATATATATATATTTATAATTTTCTTTTCTTTATGACTTTTTCATGCTATTTTCCAAGCTTGATCTCCATTACAAAAAAAAGAAAAAAAAAGATAAATTCTAATGGGATTGACATATTTTAGGTTTAAGCAACTGAAGCCATGTAGATAAGGCCTACATACCAAGTTTGTTTCAGTGCTCCAAAGAGAGATGTTCTTTAGTAGATTGCCTCCATGTGGTTCAAAAGAAAATTACCAGCCAGTAGTTACATTCTAGTGCCAAAAGTTTGGCATCAGTAAAGTAAAAAAAAAAAAGCTTTTATTTAATTATTTTATTGTTCCACAAGGATACATACAGTCAATCTGATTCCCTTTTGTTTTTATTAGTTCTTCTGAACTTTCTATTCATCAAAAAATACAGTTAAAAAATAAATTATCATAAAATAAATAAATTAAAATAATCAATAAAATGGCATGCTGAAATTATTTCCAAAGCATCATATGACACTGAAGATGATGGTTGTTTTGCCATATACAGAAAAATATGACACATAATATATAATAAAACATAAACAGCTCTTTTTTACTTATTACTTGCGCAAACCCATTTTGTTCTATTAAAGTGAACTGCCGTAAAGAGTTTAGCGTGTATGAAGTGAAGTGAATAACACCAAACATGCTACACAGACCATTAAGAACAACAACCACCGTCGAGTATTTATTAACAAGTACACCAGTGTAGTTTATTTATGCAAGCAGTTTGTCCCTACAGATCAGAAAAGCCACTGTCAAGCGGTTGGCACATTTATGTACAAAACAAATTAATGGTACAGCTTGCTACTAAGCATTCTTTAGTGAGAGTACAAAAAAGACTAGTATACGAGGACAGGGAGAGTGAGCCAGAGTAAGAGATAGAGAGAGAGAGAGAGAGAGAGAGAGAGGTGAGGGTTCAGAGAAAGCATTAAAGTCAGGGGCTCAACAAGCAATAGTAATAGAAAGGTGAGAGGAGGAGTTAGAGAGATCACCACAAAGTAAACAGGCACAAATCAAACACTACCATCGAAGAGTAGGAGTTTCAGCGCAATGTTTTTTCAGCGTAGGATTCAAATTACTGCACGTTATGAGGAAGGGGATGACCCAGCAAGACAGTCGCATAGAACAAACTCATAAAAAGATGAAATGAAAACTGTTTATCTTGTTTTTTTTTTTCTTCTTTTGATTTTTTTTTCTCCATTATTATTATTATCATCATTATTATTTATTTATTTTTTGATCCAGTAAAACGATTACCATTGAATGCATGACCATGCCACAAATAACACTTAGGTTCACAGTCTTTACCTAACATTACAGGGGTCTGACTTGACAAAGCCGGCGCCCCGATGCACTTACACCAAGAAAGAGCTCACAAAATGGTCAAATAAGTGCACAAAACTAGCTCTTAGAAACACTGACAGAACATGACTTGCCAGGCATTAAAAGAAAGAGAAGACGTCTCCATCGTCCGATATAATAATGACTTGTTAGCAAGACAACGAGTAACTGTCATCGAGATAATAGTAGTATAAGCTCTTTAAATATTCCTTTTCATCCTCACATTTCCTCCTTTGGAAAGAAAACAGCCCAGTGATCTGTTCACGATAGCCTCGCTTCTCCTTGGTCTTTTTTAACATTATTTTTCTTAGGTTTTAAGAAGAACACCCTCCCTCCGCCCCCCCTCCCATCCTATCCCATCATGGAATGTGTGTTTTATTCTTTTTAATCCATTACGAATTCACCTGAAGTTTTTAAGTGCTAACGTACAGTACATACATTTACAGAATGACTATGTACAAAAGCTGGAAATAAAACGCGTCATATAAAAACAAACAAACCCTGTGTCTATATCTATTTGTATAGGAAAATAAAAAAGAGGGGGTTATAACGCTGTAGGCT